GTACAGGAAAACCCACCTCCAAATCGTATTTTCATGACAATCCTGTGCCGATTGCACATTTTTGAGCTAGCATATAAGTAACAATTTGACAACCAAATCAAAGTAAATTATTATCCAGGATTTGACAACATCGCGATGGAGAAATTATGATAGTGGTGTAGTGATAGGAACATTTATCTGAAACAAAAGAAATGACTACTTAACAATGATCTATTTTCATCATTAAAATAATGCAAAATTGCATTATTGCGATGAACAGTGTCACAGTAATATTCAGTGTATGTTTTATTCATATACGTATAATTTTGAGCAACCTTTTTTGAAAAGAAGAAAAAATCAGCTTATAAAGCAGTATTCTATACCACAGTATTACCACCCAAAATCCAACTTTGAAGTGATATTTTCGTACAAGTTACATCCTAATATTTCATTTTACAATAAAAAATGAATTATTTGCAATATGCGCTAAAGTATAGTTTTGCCGAAAGCTCCTCATGTCTTTCCTCCGTTAGTGTTAACAAAAGGAAACGCAATCAAACAACGTGATGTAAAATCGAATATTTCGTGATATACATATATAAATAGTATGTCAATGCTCAATATCTTCGTTACTATTAGAGATGCAGAAAAAAGTTGAATATAAAAGTTGTAGGCAGAGCTAAGGGCTACAATCTAAACCTATTTTTAGCTATACAGGATATCCCATAAATTAGTGGCAATATAAACTTATATTTCTATTGATTTTTAGAAGCGCCTCATCTTGGCCATTCTACCAATGTATGGTTTCGGGGGTTTGTACTGATATTGTCTGTACTGCTACTGTTTCGTTGAAAATCATTGTACATTTGACTTCCTGTATCTTGAACGCACTTTAGATAAAATCTGTTTTGTTATACTGAGTGATGGAAACAGTGGTAGACATTCATATTAAATGTTTTTTACGTACATATTTCCTCCAAAGCATACAGGCTGAGTTAAAACGCAAAGATCTAATTTTCTCGAAAAATATAAATTTGATTAAGCACTTCCTATACGTAAACCTAGTATTTTTTAAATATTCCGTGTTTTCTAAGTGAAAACCATAATAATATTGTAACTATTAGGTAAATATAGGTTGGCCATGCTTTTTTGACAAACCTGTCATCGTAAACTTCAGTAGCAAAGTTCTGCTTGTATTAGTTTCGCTTAGAAATAAAATGAATTTGTTAACACAAGAAATGGTTGATATGATTCTTGCACTAGGGGCAAGTGACAAAAATTCTTTATTGGCAATAAGATTGTATAATCAACGTCACCCAGACAAAAGACAACCGTGTAGGAAAACTCAGCTCATGGAGCGTTTCGAGCGTACAGGAAGTGTGCCATATCGGAATATAGAGAGGGTGAAGATCCCCATGCAAATGTTCGGCGTATTTCACAAGACTTGGACATTAACAAATCATCCGTGCACAGTATACTTCAAAAAACAAAATGCACCCTTACCATATATACAATTGCACCAAGAGCTAAGCGAATACGATTACGGATTTAGGCTGACATTCTGTAGCTGGGTACAAGAAAAAAACCCTTGCCAAGACTTTTTTGAAAATGTGCTGTTCGCCGACGAATCAATTTTCCATAAAAATGGATGTCAACAGGCACAGTTTCCACTATTATGCAGCCCTGCAATGTTATCGCACAGCCAGGAAAGATGGTCTCTAAACGTCTAGGGTGGCATAATTGGCAATTTTGTAATAAGGCCACATTTTTTCAATGGAAAACATTTTACCACATATACCAGAACGTGTGAGGGAGATAATGTGGATTCTTATGATGGAGCTCCTGCACATCACACACAATAAATAATCATGTAAATACTGAATTCCCTCCTAGGTGGATAGGACGAACAGGTCCAGTCAGATGGCCACCCAGGTCTCCCGACTTATTGAAAATGGATTATTTTTTCTGGGATTGCGTTATAGAAGAGGTTTATAAGATTTCACCTACGACAGGAGTTAATATGCAAAACAGGATAAGTTTTTCAGAGCATTAACCACCAAATTTTAAGAAATGTTGCCGAATCATTTAAACGTAGGTTTCAGGTCTGTATTGATGCTGGTGGTGGGCACTTTGAACAATTAATCAAGTAGATAAATAGATTTAGTTAGTTATCATTATCATAATTGTTACAGAGTTATTTTTAATTGTTAAGCTTCTTTAGCAGAGATAAGTATAGTATTTTTTGTTATAGTAGCCGTTGTAAGTGCTTAATTACATTTTTTCAATCACTCAGCGACATATTTTAATCAATAGATTTTTTTGTTTTATTAATAGTATGTCTGACGGATATTTTCCTAATAATTCCAAAATTATGATTTTCACTCTTAAAAAAACATGGAATATCTCAGAAAATAGTAGGTTTGGCTATAGGCAATGCTTAATAAAACTGGAAGAGCAATCCGAGACGCGTTTTTTAGAGTTATAACATACAGGGTGTTTGATTTAAATTTTTCGAGAAAATTACATCTTCCGGTTTTGACTCACCCTGTATGTCTCGAATGAAATATGTACAGAAAAAATATTGAATATGAATGTCTGCCACTGTTTCCATCACTTAGTATAATAAAACAGATTTTATCTGAAGTATTCTTTAAGATACGAGAAGTCAAATGTACAATGATTTTAACGAAAAAGTGGCCATATTTTCCGAAATACCCAGTATAAACCCCCAAAACCATACGTTGACAGAATGGCGAAGAAAAGGCGCTTCTAAAAATGAAGTTTATATTGCCACTAATTTATGGTATAGCTAAAAATAATTTTAGGTTGTTGCTCTTAGCTCTGTCTACAACATTTGTACATAACTTTTTTTCTGCAACTCTAATAGTAACGAAGATATTGAGCTCTGACACACTATTTCGACACCCTGTATAGCCTCAGTAGTGATAAAAAATTCCTACACACGAATTTTTGCGAGATAATCATAGCGTACCTGTGTAGATCATTTTTATTACTTCATAGTATGATTCAAGATTGTCGACGCAGAAGCTATCGCCATTAGGACGGTGGATTTGTGATCGGATTGGCGCCATTTCGCGCTTTCAAAAATAACTAATTATCGGCTTAGCGGTGAACTACTGTTCAAGGGTAGTGGCGAAGCACCTTTCATGTTTGTTCAACGATAGGCACGAACTGATTTCACTAAGGTGTAGGCTCATTGAGGGAAAGGGAACAGAAGATAAGCAAGATTTTCCGCTGGGTTCCGTTACGCATAATTAAACTGTAGCGACACGAAGCGACGTGTCACTTTTAACACACGCAAATTACATGCAACGTCTGTCGCAAAGTAAACAGGGCAAAGAAAAAAATGAACAAACATTTTGTTTGGGAAAATCGAATTAATTTTATTCAAAATAGTCTCATTCAGAGTTAATACAGCGATTTGCACGGACCAAAAGGTTTTCGAATGACGATTTTAGCTCATTGACCAGGATGTCCTTTAAACTGGTCGTCGGCTCCTTTTAGATGGCCTCTACCGAACAGAAAATAGCAACATGGTCCCATATCACGAGAATGTGGGGAGTGGTTGATGGTTAAAATGCCATTTTTTGTCAAATAAATCGAACACAAGCGTCGATCGATGAGATGGCGCATTATCGTGCAACAAGCGCCAGCTTCCTTCTTCGCGATATTCTGGCCGAACACGGCGAATATGCGACAGCAAACGCCTCATAACACCAAGAGCACAGCATTGACCGTTTGGCCCGGTGGAACGAATTCTTTGTGAGTAATTCCCTTCGAATCAAAGTGAATCAACATTGTTTGCAGTTTGGCCTTTTCCAGACGGCTTCTTTTCGGATTTTCCTCGGTTGGAAGCTTCCATTCGGCACTTTGACGCTTGGTTTCGGTATCATATTGAAAATACCATGTTTTGTCACCCGTCACATTTTTGTACAGAAAGTTTTTGTCTTTTTAGGCTTCTTTAATGACTTCTCTCGAATGTTGAATTCGAAGCAATTTTTGGTCATCCGTGAGCTTGTGCGGAACAAACCGTGAACACACCTTTCTCACCAAATTCTTTGTCAAAATGCGATGGATTGAATCTTTAGAGATATTTAGTTCCATTTATATGTATCTCAATGAAGATTGTGGAGCATTTTTCATAAATTCACGCACTTTTTCGACAGGTTCTGGCGTAATCACAAATTTTTGCTGGCCGACATGTTCGTCGTCTTCCAGTGACTTACGACCCTCTTTGAACCGCGTAAACAATCATCACCGTACACTTGTATCAACATCTGATGCGTTTCTGTAGATGTTTTACCAAGTTTAACACTGGACTTATAATTAATATTGGCTCTTTGTTCCATGCTCATTTTTCGATCGATGCTAAAAAGGTACTGTCACTTTGAGCGCGATAACTCTGCCTGAAGTGGTACGATTGTCATGAAATTATGACAGGGATCAATGAAATTTGTACCCATTCCAACGCTAGTTTCCGATAACAGATAGCGCTACTTGTATCGGATATCTTTCAAATACCCTGTTTACTTTGCGACAGACGTTGTATGTCGTCGTAATTCCTTTGTGGTTAATGTTTTCAATTTTCATTTTTGCTCTTGGACAATTCAATCAACAACATGTTTGTTCATTTAGCAACTCGGTCGTCAATTTGTTGTTTTCGAGGTTGCTTCACTTTTTTATTAGATAACCAGAGACTAATATATCCAACTACCTAGAAATAGGTAACAGGTGACATAGTAACAGGTCTGCCTAAACTGTGTTACGTGATTACCTCGCAAAAATGTGTGTCTACTTTGAGAAAGTCATTATAGATCCCGAACATTATATCCTTTGGTGCTATGCACATCAGGTTTTAAAAGTGCTCGCCCAATAATGACTCCCTTCAACTGGATATGCAGTGTACTGTTAGTGGAAAGATGTAATCTCATAATCAAGTGAGTCATATGGCATCTGGATCAGTGTTGTATACAAAAACACAATGCCCATCCATGTTTCAGATGGAACGCCAGGGCAAACAGGCATTGGAACAGCAATCTTCAAAAGAGAGAGAAAAACTGACCATCAACAAACGTTGGACGAAGCGCGAAGAAGCGGATTTCTTCAGAGTGGTATCTTCATACGGTGTTATCTACTACCGCAAGAAAAAAGCCTACGATTGGACGAGGTTCAAACAGTTGGCAAAGCTGGAGAAGAAGTCAGATGAAGAACTGACGGAGTACTACAAGAACTTCGTCATTATGTGCAAAAAGCAGACGGGGATGAATGTAGACGAGAGCAGCTACGACAACACGATCGAGCATATTGTTGAAGAAAAGGCCAGAAGGACGTTAGAGAGATTAGAACTTTTGTCTAGAATCAGAGAGGAAGTATTGACCCATCCAAAACTCGACGAGAGGTTAAGAGTATGCTTGGTGTCTGCAGATATGCCAGACTGGTGGATACCTGGAAAGCATGATAAGGATCTACTCTTGGGAGTTGCCAAGTAAGTTTAATCGTGAAATTATGTATTTTTGCTGTTAAGTTACTGCACAAAGCTTTGTATGAAACATCACCTTCGAAAGAAGCTGTGTTATAAGAAAATCGTAACAGAAAAGGTACTTTCCTGAGTAGATGATATTATATAACAATCAGCTATAAAACTCACCTGTCACTGTAAAAAATTGGCGGCTATTTCGGCGGAGCAATTCGAATGTAGATTCCCCCATTACAACGATCAAAGAGGTTCCAGTGCTCAGCAGCAGCCGGTGTTGCCACTTACCCTGCCAGCGGCCGCCGATATTATTTGCAATTAAAAAAATATACTATTCCGATATGATCTGGTGTATGTTATGTGAACCAATAATAAAAAGGAATAAGTTCGTCCAAAAAGAAGCCATAGATAAATTCGTATTGGTGGAAGAATTTACAATAAATAGAAAAATATTTACTTTTGTCTTGCATTCTTTGATACTGCGATGTTCTCAATCCATTCCATTTTTAATGTAAACACTATTAAAAAAGCAATCAAATCAAACTTGATACTCCTCAGCTAGAATGCTTCCACATACATGGCAGGTTTTTAATGTGCAAGCGGTCGATAGTTCCGATATTTCAAGTATCTATAGAAGTTAGTTATAAAAATTGTAGGCAGCTATATGAAAATATGCCGCTCTCCACAAGGTGATCCATAATTACATGACAACACATACATTTTTTAAATGAATTTGTTTAGAATGTGCGAAGAATGAAAAAATATTCGTGCAAAATGGTAGAGTTTTACTGATGAACAATTTTTCTTAAATCTCTCATTTAAATGTTTTTGTGCTGTCGTCTTTTCCGGGTCAAAGACACCTAAATTCTTGTGATTGAGTGAATGTTGTATTTGTAAAATTTAATGGATTGATTATATCGCAGCATCGAATAGTACATAGCAAAAGAAAATATTTTTTCCGTGTATTGTAAATCTTCCACCATTGCAAATGTATTTTGAAGCTGTTTCATAAATAAATAGTCATGCATCGCTTCTTTTTGGACAAACATACTCTTTTTTATTAATGATTTACACAAACGACACTAGGTCATATCGAAATATTATCATTTTACGATTGCAAAGAATATATGTGGCCGGTGGCATGATACGTGGCAACACCGGTTGCTGCTGAACACTAAAACCTCTTTCATGGTTGTTCTAGGGGAATTCACATTCGAACTTTCTCCATTGAAATGGCGGCCGTTTTTGACACTGACAGGAGAGTTTCATAGCTGATTATTATCTAAGTTGTGGTAGTATTATCGACTCCGACAAAGAATACAAGAGGAGGACCGTTGAGTGGTGCCCCAGAAACCGGTTGGTGTGTCGGTATCGTCTGAGAAACCGTCCGCGCTGTCAGATCTCCTTCTCCTAAATTGATAATGACATTGACAGCTTTTCTATACGCATAAACAATTGAGGAGCAGTTTACCTCACAACTTTTTCACACGGAGCAGCTTGAAAGCTGTTTCAAGACTTTCAATAGCATATACCTAGTATTAAGTAATATTTTCAATGAATATATTCCAGATTTCAGCCTAAGAGCATGCATGCACAACGTTTAAAAATATCGCTATTTCCTGTCCGCATTTCTGTGCCTTGCATTTTCTTGCTGGGTAGATTTTTTTCGCCCTGTATCTCAGTTGGTAAGGGTTTAGGTAGCATTCAAAGATTTTGTTATTTTTCAATGTTCTTGTTGCCTCAAAGATAGATAGTTTTAATATCTTTATGTCTTTGAATGATAAGCTGGATCGCACCTGAATTTTTTACTATTACAGACATGGCTTGGGCCGAACGGATTATTATCTCTTGAACGACCCAGATCTGTCATTCCACGAAGTACTTAGGAAAAAAGTTCGTTCTAATTCTCTGGACAGCAAGGAGGCTATAAAATTGGAAAGTCACGAGGACATTCTCAAATTTGACAAAGATGAAATCCTTGTAAAACTAGAGAAAGGCGAGGGGACTTTAAAGATAGAAAAGGTTGCTGTGAAAAAAGAAACTCTGGAAGAGAAGAAATCCGGGGACGAAGATAAAGTGAATCTCACCTTAGTGAAGGGTGACAAATGCGAAAGTAAGTAAACATTACAACATTTATGTAACATTCATGCACAGTCAAGGGCGATTCGGAATACAAAATTTTGCAATAAGTGAGGCGAATGATTTTTTTTAGAATACTGATTTGTAATAATAAATCCAAATTAACGGTTTTGTTAATTATTTCGTTAACTATCTTACGTAAAAAAGTGATAAAGCAATATTTGTATTCTTGACCGTTCGTTAAAATTACATAGAATCATAATGATGCAGAATTTAATTCTATACAAAGATTTTACCAATTTTTCACGTAAGTTTATGAGATAATTGACTAAACCCGTATATCAAAATGATTTTTTGCTTTATCCTTGGAAATTAGTATTCTAGTAGATATGCGTAAAAAATCTTCTAGTCGTAAGAACTTAACTTAAGTTTTGCACATCAGTAGGTTTGGTTGCCCTGACACAAAAGTCAGTCAAAAAGGAGGAACGTAGGAAGGGGAGAGCAAACAGGAGGAAATGCTTCGGCTAAGGCAATGTTAGATAGTGCACATGTGACCCTGCTACTAGAACTGGCCCTTTCTATCTTCTTCATATTTCTGATAGAGGCTAGTAGCTCTAATTTCGTTCGTCTCCTAGCTATACTGGACTGATGATTTTTAAGAATTCAATAGCGTCGCACTTGGTTGGTTTGGATGCTAGCATTCATCACTTTTGGCATGGATTTTTGACTAGGTTGCTGGAAAGCTAAATTGATAAAAAAAATAATAATTTTGTACTAGCTGTAGCAAAAGCTTAGCTTGAAATGAGAGTCTCATTTAAGACCATAGCATGGGGCGATAGTTATTTTGCGTAATGTTTTGTCCTGCATAGTTCTATTGTGAATATTTTTTTAATACGCCATTATTGACGGCAATGTCTTACTGAAAAGCATATTTTCTCTGCTTAGGTAAATAATAAAAAAACATAAGTAAATGATGAATGTTATTTAAAATTCTACACTGCTAACTTCACTATTTTAGTTTGACAACTAAACGTTTTGGAATATCTCAATACGTACGAGTTAGCTGACTAATATTAGGTATCACTTGTTATGTAACCGTCTTTCTTGAATACCTCTACAATTATGGTAAAACTTAAAAAATTAATTCATTGCTAGCAAAATGAACACACGCCTCACCAACGTTAACACATTACTCAAACTTCCAAAATCAGATAATAATTCCATTCATCAATTTGAGCTTGACAGCTGGTAACTATATATTTTAGAATATTTGTGAGATGAGTAGGAAACGTCATGACCGTTAATTTACATTTTGCTTAGGATAAATATAACGCTAATCAACATGAACAGATCAATCCAAATATATTATTAAGTGTTAGTAGTGACAACAATATATTCGTACCTCGCTTGAAAAAGCCATTGTTGAACTCGCATTTTATGTCTCGACTATTGATGTTCCAACCATGTACTATGGTTATTTAACTCTCCTAATGTGCTTTCGTATGACATTTTCATTGTTATGTTCTAAAACCTTGGTTTTCCTGTTTTCGGAGTTCCACTTGAATGACTATTTAAGATTCTTTTTTTCAGCCAAAGAGCAGCTAGACGAAACAGTCGGTATCTCTGAACAAAAAGATGAGGAAGATAAAGAACCTGTAAAGGAGGGCGACGAAGACAAAGAATCAATGAAAAAAGAGTCAGACACCAAATCCGAATCAGAGAAATTCGAGTCTGACACTGAATCGAAGAAGTCTGAAGTTGAAGATCTATGCAAGGTAGTTATGACAAAGATATATCAAGGGAGTAGAGTTGTGTCGTTCCGTACGGCTTCTGTGTAAAAATCCTATTCAAAAATTCAAAAAACGACAAAATGTCATGTTGCAAACAGTTCATTCCACGTTTTCTCGCTATGATCGCTGTGCGCATCCATCTATGGCGGAATGACTCAACTACACGCGTTGTTAGTTGCAGAAGACAAGTACATGTTTTGTGAAGCCAAGTTGTCTATAGTGTTTATCTCTGAGATGTGAAAGAAAGTTAGTTGAGTAGCAAGATCCCATCTGGATGGTTATGTGTATTGGTCTGCATGTGTATAAAATCAGTGATATTTGCTATTTGAGAAAATTATTACTGAACATGCTGCTGCCAATGATTTATATGTATAAGCTGTGCCCGACGGGTTGATTATATGTTGTCCTTTCTGAAGACAGGTTATGTTCAAAGTTTTAAATTACGATTTTTCCCTCTTTTTTTTGCGTTTTCAAAAACTTCGAAGAGCATTACAGGTAATCGCCACCGCGCCCGCGTTATGTGCAATTAAGCCACATCACAAAAAAAAATAGAAATGATGCATTACACTTCAAACATTTTCGCATTTTCTAGGCACTAATTTGTATTTTCTATTGACATCGCAAAATAAATTTCTATAAAACTTAAATGACTGCAAATAAAAAATAATGTAATAACCGTTTCATTTCACCAATCAGGGATTTTCTTATCTCTCTCATTTTTGAAATCCAGCAAATTTGCATATTCAATTTACAAAATGAATAAGAAAAAGTGGATGCGCAACTAATTTCTAGCTTTGAATCTCAAGTACGTGTATTTGAGACAAGAAAAAAATAGAATTATCAGCACATGCTATTAGCACACAAATCCTCACTATGCACCTATGCAATGCCGTTTCCTTCCAGCTATAGTATACAATTTATAGCTTAATCCTCCAATAATGCCATCTCTCAAGCAGATGTTTCATCACACCAGAGCCAAACATTGATAACTGTAGCATCATGACGTTTAGGCACAACGTACAACTACAAAACGAGTTCACAAGTGTCCATCAGCTACTGCTAAGTTAACATTGTATATAGAAAAACCTACGTTATGTAAAAAAACTACATAATGTCACTTTTCAAGATACGTAATACACGTGCCGGTCCGACCCGTTCCTATTGAACGAATCCTGTGGTGGATCCGATCGGACTGAATCCGATCTCTTAGTTAATTCCATCAGATGTGCGAATCATGCGATTCGGCATGTTCCTGGATACTTTGAGTTTCGCAACGGTGGCAGAAGAAATAAAAGTAGTGTATAAAATAAACATGTCGCTATCTTACGATTTATATAAACAATAAAGTCATCATCGTTTAGTTACTGTATATACATGCTATTTTGTAAACTATCAATCATCGGTATTATGAAACACAAGAGTTGATGTTGAAAACCTTTTCATCATCAGCATCAACACTCTAAATAAGAAATGGGACACCAGCAACCAACCGAGATTTCGTAAAACGATAGGCTCTTAATACGGCATAGGAAAATGGGTATCTGGCAACAGTGCGTACCGGTTCATATTGGTCCGGACTCAGTCGAGACATCGTGTGGATTGTGACTCGATTGGAACGAAATTAACGAATCTGTCGGAACTGTTCCGACAAAGGAACGCATCTAGGAGAACTGAAACATTTAATGGATCTGGACCGCCCAACACTACAAGAGAGAATACACAAAATGACTTTTTAAACACTTGTTATTGGCGAGAGATGTATACAGCGTTTTTTTTTTGTTCAAATAAACTTAAGACCTAAATTTAATTATGGTATAGATATTTTACATCCATTTGCAGTCTGTCAAAAATATTTTTCAAGCTTCGTGTTTGGAAATTAATATTTTAACAAACGAGATCGTTAAAATGTGTGCCAAGTCAAATACTGTTTGTAATAGTGTGCAACGTATTTCGGAAAAAATAATCCAGCTTATCATAAATATAGCATATTCTAAATATTTTTATTCCAATTTGGCGACACTGCACATACGCGTCCACGGCCTTCTGCTCTCTGTTTGGCTATTTGCTCATGGCTTGCTCTGTTTGTTGTAAAATAGACAGTCATTTACGAATTTACTAGTTATGGCGTAAAATACAACAACTACGAAACTGACTTTTTTGAGTTTTTGTAGATATAATATAAATATGAATATTTTCATAATTAATCATGTGGCAAGATTTTTTCAACTGGAATGGCGGTCGTGTGAGGCCCCGTATGAGTACTTTTACAGAGTACAAATTTACTGTTATAAAAGGGCGGACATTGTGATGCTTTTGTGAATGGAATGCTTCGTATTTTAGCACATATCTGAAGATATCTAAAAGATATCGAGTCTACTTAATTCTTGAAATTTTTGTTTCATGACAACAGACGAAGGTGGAGAAGTCGAAATCCCCGCCACCGAAAACGCCATCTACAGACCCTGAAACAGACCTGTGTTCAAAGCAGGCCGCCGAGCTGAAGGCGATGTTTCCAGACTTAGAGGTGATCCAGCCGCTTTCACGGCTCTCCCAGGTAGACACGTTCGTCCTAAGGGATAAACAAGCCAGTGGAGCATTGGACTTTAGCGAAACCACCGTGGCTCAATTGTTCAACAACGCTGTCAAGTGGCCTAAAGAGTATGCTATCCAGGTGAGTTATTGTCGTAATTGTCATCGAATCTGGTGATAGATGGTACTGTGCGATTGAATTATTAAAAAACCATTGCTACATATTAAAAAAAAATATACAAACGAAATTAAGAATTAATTAATCATTAAAACTTTTCTACACTACATCTTGGTGGAACTTCCACATGTTCAACACGTGCTCCGTAGGCTGACAGTGACGTTTGACGTTGACATTATTGAGATATTTATTGTAACGAAAATTATTTCGTTTCCTGTGTTACCAACAATGTGTTAGTAAGCTTTCAATGAAACATCAAAATTAAGGAAAAAATTACATCATTCATGGAAACAAAAGACAGGCATATTGCTACTAAGGTGACCTATTTAACGTAAAAACCAATTATAATCAGAACAGTATAAATAAATTCAACAACATCTATTGTCACCAATTGAGATTACTGGACTTAAAACTTGAAATGTAATAAAGAACAAACAATATTAACAAATACTATCACTACTTAACACGGTAACTGTTCATGAATCATATGTGATTCGTTAGACATGTTTGTCTACACGCCTTGAATCATATGTGATGCTTTGTACTTGCTTTGTCTTACGATGTTAAAAATTGGACGTGATATTTAAGCATCTGATTATGGCATGGACGTATTAAGAAGATATTGAACTTTTTTTTCCAGGATGCATCATATATGATTCGAAAACATATTTTTTATGTTCGTAAAAATGATTCCAAAAAAGACTTTTATTTATTAAAAACGAATTTATTAAAGGTTTTAGAAAACAAAGGAACATAATTCTGAAAATACAACATAAAAATGGTTAGTCTTCTGGTTTTTATTTTTGTGCGTTCCAGCAAAAAAAAAACAGGATAGGCAAAATGGCTTACTACATATGGTACAATAAGTATCTACTGGGTTCCATTTTCGCGTTTGTTTTTCTGTAGCATTCATGGCATCTTTTTCTTATAATTTTACCGTCGTCGTTTCTTGGTATTTTTGACATGAAGTGGTCAATAGAAGTGGATGGCTCAATGTGGGTTGGTGTTTTAGCTACTTCAAGAAGTTCTTCAATTACTTCTTCTGTAAAAAGCAATAGAGCCTTTTTTTCGTAGATATTTCGTTGTATAATAACCAACTATTAATTATAACGGTGCCAAATATTAACTCAATTGCCACCTTTTTGCACCAAATCACGAATTACGAACTGGTGAATAGTAGCTACTTAGTTGATCCGATACATCAATTTCCTGCTTTCCTGAGTTGTAATCTAAAATGGATTTCGATTTGGTTAAAGCAGCCCCTGCCTTAGTTTTTCTCCTTGTATCTGCAATATCATTTCCATGGCAAGTTGACAACATGCAAACATCACGCTTATCGTGCCACTTCAAAATTGTGATGTTGTCTCGTTGTCAAGCGATTATGTCCCCTTTTTTAAATTGGTCTTAACAACTTCTTTTAGAACTCCCTTTCGATTTTTCCGTAGACTCCCACAAAGATCTGTGGAACGATCTAGCAAATATTTAGCTAAAGGAATACTGGTGTAAAAATTATCAGTTATGATCAGCCGTCCTTCATTCAATAAGCCTTCAGCTGAATTTACTTCTACAGATCCAGGCTCATCTAACATGAGGAAGTCCAAGATATATACCAACCTCGACCGATCCAACGATTGACACGACAGGTTTCCAAATAGTAACGCAACCGAAGATCATGCTGTGGAGGTGCGCCATCATGTTAGTAGTACGTCTCCAAGCGAGTTTGCAGGTTGACATCCTCCTAAAGTTGCGGAAAATGTTCCATCAAAAAATTCAAGTATTCCGTACCTGAAAATCTATTCTCTAAAAAGATGGGCCCAATAAGTTGCCTGCCAATAATACCTCGCCAAACATTTAATCTCATTTTGTCCTGGATATTTATTTGTCTAAACAATATTTAGGGTTTCTCCGTTGCATATAGTGCATGTTATATGTTTATGACACCTATGCTGTACTGTCACTCATTTTATTTAGGATTATATTGCTAAACTCCATTCGACATGCAAAATCATGTGAGCGAAGGCTTTGATGTAAGCATAGGTGATATGGATGGTATCTATCCTTGTTAATAATTATTTGGAAATAACTTCTGTTACGTCAGTCATGCTTCAATTTCCGTGTACTTAAATGGGGATTTTCTCGAAATTTTAATGTAACCTCCAACTGGTTCACCTCGTTGGTGACTTTGGATTATTTACAACTTTTTTACTATGGTTCTCTATGGCACGTTTTCTCAATAATGTTTCTCTCATCTCTGTGAAGGACGTGGGCTTGCACGCACAAAAGAATAGTTATTTGTCTGTCAACATCGTCAACATAAAACATTTTTGGTATATTGATCGTCTTTCTCAATTGTTTTTTTGTGCTAAATGATACTGGACATACAAATCGAAAAAACTCGAAGTGAAAACCAAATGTTCAGGAAGTAATATATCTGCATATGCGGTGGCCAGTTGAGCAACATTTAACTATGTGAAAGACTGGTTAAAAATGTGTTGCTTCCGGCAAAATGTATCCTTAACTCTGAACGAATATATATATATATATATATATATATATATATATTTAGCGGAGCTGTCAAAGTACATCCCATATTTATCCTGTCTTGGATGTCGGAAGTTAGGGTACCGTTGCTTATAATGCGAGACGTCAGGAAATCATTTCTGTGCGCTCCACCCAAATTGAACACCATATTCATCATTTCTTCCTTGGAGAGTTCTTTTTTAACCACGTTTTTAGTCTAATATTGGCTAATATTCACAATAATAACCCTCATGTTCCTTATGTCAAAAAAAGCTTACAAAAATGTAATCCGAAAATGCTTAAACATACAGGGCAAATATGCAATAAAACTTGCGGCATTCCATTGAAAAAAATTACAACTTGATATGTTGGTCAAAATTGGGACACCCTGTATAATTTCAATAATATGTACGTTAGACATGTGCGCCAAACATGTGTATCTCACAAGTGATTTTCTTCAAAAAGCAAGCAAGAGCAATCCTCCGTACTCGCATGGATAAGCCACCCTGTATAAACAGGTTATTTGGTCTCAAAGGCAAATAACAATTACTGACGGTATAGCCATCTGTTACAACAAAAACTTTTAGGCAGAATTCAACAACAAAAAAATAGAAATTCTCGTCAATTACTTGTTGCTTGAATGATATATCTACCTCTAAAGTATATCCACTTTAACTCTTGATATCCCACCCCTCAAAAGTTATGCGAACGAGTAGTAAAGATGATGTGCAATTGTGTTTCTCTTATCAAGATTGTCTTCAACATACAGTGTACAAAAATGAGCTAATTAGCAACGCTTCCGATATATTGGACCAATACATTTTGGCGTCAAAAGAAGGTCGTAATTTATACGTACTGTTACGTATTGTTTATTGTATCATTATTTGAAACTAATAATGATAATAATATTTATTCCAAATCTAGAATCACAAATACATTTGTAGAAATGACATAGATGTGGAACTAACGTCATACTCAATCAAACACTAAAACGAAGCATTCATGTACTGAGAAATATTGTATGGTTCCAACTGAACTAAAACCAGGTGTTTTTTAAGGTTCCTGTACCTTCCATCGCTTTCAAATGATTAGGTAGTTTATTATACAACTTTGCGCACATATAAAAGGAGTTGATTTCAGTTATGTGCCTATGCAGAGGTAGCAAAACATTCAGAGCTCTTGTACCGTAAGTGTGATCATTTTGCGAGGGAAAATTGTTTCTATTTTTCACTGTGAACATAACACAATCAAAAATGTAAAGTGTATATAGTCATCAAGCCCATACACTTAAATACGCCCCTACATGTTTTATTAAATTTCATATGTATCAATGCTCTTATGGTCCTTTTTTTACTAACAAATTTTTTTGTAGTTCTATGCTGCCTCCAAACAGTATTATTCCATAACGTAGAATCGATTCAAAATTTGAACAATACACAATTTTTAAAGATTCTGAATTTATATAACTAGATAGCACTCCTATTCCATGACTGATGATCTGAAAGTGTGATATTTTATGGTATATCAATCTGTGATTGCTTTGTTCTAAATATTGTTAAATCAGTTTTGTCATTAATACAAGTTTATTCATTGCAAACCATTTCCTCACTGATTCAAACACCTGCTAACCATTATGTCCCAGTCCAGTGGTATTTCTGTCGCTAATAAGTATGCTGGTATCATCAGCATAATTAATTATTGTAAGGTCATAATCTCTTAGATCATTGATGTATATGACAAATAATATGGGACCTAAAACACGGCCCTGTGGTATACTTATCTCATTACGAATGAAATTAACTTGATGATATCTTTTTTTATCGCTACACGTTGTTTCATGTTTGTAAGATAGGATTTTACCCAGGACGATGTATTAGCCCTCATTCCATATCTACCCGATTTGTCAAATAGGATGCTATGATTTAAGCAGTCATACCCTTTAGAAAGGTCAAGAAATAACCCCATTGCTAAATGTTTATCTTCCATGTAGTTTAAAATGTTCTGTGTGAATTGGCGAAGAGCTGTAATTGAAGATCTACCTTGAATATAGCCATGCTGCCTGTTGCTAAACAATTTATTTTTATCCATAAAAGCAGTTATTTGTATACAGGCAGCATATTCAAATATTTGGAAAAGCTATTCAGAAGACTGAAGGGCCTATAACTATCAATGATGAATGGATCACCCTTTTTAGCAACGATTTTATTTCTGACACTTTCAATTGTCCAGGAAAAATTCCAAATTTTAGAGAATTATTAATAATGTCACGTAAAATATTTTTAACTCGCAATGTTTGTTGGTATTTCGTCACCACCAGAACTGTACTTATTTTTTAGTTTGTTTGATATTATCACAAGATCATCAGCTTCAATTGATTGAAGGCTAAGCGTTTTAGTATTTAGTATTTAGTATATTTAGTATAAGGGTGTTCAGGAATTTTGCATTCATCAATACTTTTAACATTGCCTCTGATTTCATTACGTAAAGCCCACATAGCTTTTGATTTGTTGTCTGATTTGTAATTTTTATTTCCATATCTTTTTTCCTTTGTTCAATTAATATATTATCAAATTCCTTTTTAGTGTTGTCATAGTCTTTTTTTAAATGCTTTTTGTGTCTGTATAAAATCAGTAACTTGTCTAACCTGTTTTTGCAATCTTATCCTGTTTTGTTTTTTACGTAGTTGGTCTGTGTATGTGAATTTTTTAGGGAAGCACATGTTGAAAATATTGATGAATTTCGTTATAAATAATTTCCACTGTTTATTGTCGTCTTGCTTAGGAACATCTAGGACATCTTGCCAATCCTTTTGTTTCAACACATCTACAAATGGATCTTTTGCATTTTCTGTAAAAAATCTTCTGTAAGTTATAGCATTTGCAGCGGGCTCACACGGTATTAAGATTTTTTGGCCAGAATGAGTTTTTATTATAACACGAATATATTTCCTAAGTAAAAATATCATCTATACCAGATTGACATTCAATAGTATAGCTATTTACTTTGGGTTTTAAGAAAAAAGAGCATATAGGGAGTAGAGTTCATTTTTAAGGTTGTTTTCATTAACCATTTCAACATTAAAATCACCTGCTATTATAAGTGATTTAATCTGGTCAAGATGTGTTAGAAATTTCAAGAAAAATTTACTTTGGTCACCACTTTAGTCACCATTTGGAGGTCTATATATAGCACAACATACAACTGACCTGTTACCAATTTTACATTCCATTACTGCGAACTCAAATACACCAATCACTGATAACTTTTTCCTTGCTTAGGACACTGTATTCTGTCAAGCATACACTACTGCAGCACCATGATGACCTTCTTCCCTGCAGAAGCTAGCCGCCAACTTAAAGTCCTGTATACCAGTTTGCTCTATTTGTTCGTTTGATTTCCAGTGCTCAGTAATTCACAGTACACTACAGTTAGGATTCGCTTGTAGAACAGCATTTACTTTATCCGCACAGTTTTCCAATTCCAACGTTTTGATGAATCACACTGTAATATTCATCTCTGTTCTTTGAAGTTTGAGGATGTGTAATGGTGTTTGATTTTAGGTACACTTTATTTTGTCCAAGTTTTTTGTTCATATTTCTAACCCATCTATTTCATTTGCTACACCTTCATTGCTTGTTCTAATATTATTGTCTAAAAATCGAAACGAAATCCGATAACTTCGATCATCCTGTATATAGTGTCGCATCCTAAGATGTGAAGGCATTCATCGTTGTGTCACGTGAGCTCAGGTACTATCATGCAAAGTGAGTTGCTTGAGAAACATGTTAAATCCGACTTAAGCATAATAGTTTATACAGGGTGACTTTGAAGTTGAGTCATTAATTTTCAGATAATGGTTGTAGAAGGAAGATAAACCATAATATGTGTGTAAAAATAAAAAAAAAATTTACCTTGTTTTATAAAGTATCCTCCCGACAAGTATTTCAGTGCGGACCTGTATTTGATCGTGAGGTCTTGGAGCACCGGCATGCCGTCCATATGTGAGGTCTTAAGTCAAATGATTCACGAACCCGTTGTACTACATTAACAAAGGCACGAGGGATTGGTTGCACTCGATTGGGAAACCGATCCGCATAAACATGTGCCATTTTTTATTTCGTTTGAGCCACGCAACAGATACCACTATCCACTACCGACTGACACTGACTGTATACAACTGACTGAAATAATTGTAAAAACATCGTTCCAAATTCTTTCGCTTTTTTGTTTCCGATGCGATGAACCGATAAGGCGAATTATATCCGTTGTCGCCAAACACGAGCACATAATATTATTATTGAGACAGGGCGGTACTCAAACTTCCACAGGGCTATAACTTTGTTACTTTAATTTTACCAGAAAAATGGTAAAGGAAAAAAACATTTCTTTTGATCAGATCTACTCACTGTTAAAATAAATGACTCAACTTCGAAGTCACCCTGTATATTCATAAACATCATAGTGCCACATCACATAATATTGCCTCCTCGTGTGCTGTCATATGACAGGAGCAGGAACCTTTTGACATCCTGTCACTATACCTTTTGAGCCTTGACCTGCCTAGTGTATGATCTACCGATTTAACTTGTGTGACAACATGGGAAGCCTCGGTAGTTCGGTGGTTAGCGCGTTGTGCTAGCAATCCGGAGCTCGCGGGTTCGAATCTCCGCCTCGGAAGTTAATTCCTTGCCATGAATGTTGTCTGAGTCACGCAAGTGGTGCAATATTAACAGGTGCATCTAATCGCTGGATCTATCAATTACTTACCAGTAAATGGCTTGTTGAGTAGTACAGTGTTGGTACTGCTGGGTCGGCAAAAAGGATCAAAGGTGGCCTACTTGCCAGGCTTCACCTCCCCACCACTACTACTGTGTGAAAGCATGAAATAAAATCCAAACACTCTCCCTGAGTGCAGAGGTCATGATGTTTTACATCGTTGTTGGGAAGAAAAAAACAAGAAAATTCAATTCTGTGTTTCTACCTTAAGGTTATGTCGGCTATCGACTGAAATAAAAAACATCTTATGAATTTTAAACACGTCATGGAGCTGTAATAATTAAGTATGACATTTGCGGTTTTTGCACTACATGGATTCAAATTCAACCGCTTTGTCTCCACGAACGGACGTTTATTCAAATTTCGCGATCGGGGTGAACCGATGTGATTTTTGTAATTTTATTTATTTGTTCTAATGCTTAGTGGTTGTATCCATTAGCACAAGCGTAATCTGACGTGTGATGTTTGGATTGCAGGTGCGGCTGCAGCACATCATCTATGCGGTGGAGACGAAAGAATGGCCGGCATCGAAGAGTTTTTCAGCGTACGCGACCGGCATCGGGAGTGAGTTCGACGTGCCCATCCATGAGCTGCCGAACGAGCCTCCCAAGCGAGAGCGTGACACCTCTACGCCAATGTCCTCCGTCGGGGAACCGGAAATTTCCATTAGCGTGGCGGGTGGGGCAAGTAAGAAGCGGAAACGACATATTGCCATCGACGTTGAGACGGAGCGCGCCAAATTGCACGCGCTGCTCAACAGCTCACACGCGGCTGCCTCTACTCCGCCCATCTCAAAAGTAAGTTATTCTTCGGTAGGTTTTTTTTTCAATTAGGACGTTTCCTATAGTCTAAAATATTGCTTATAATAGTGTAACTGGTATCTTTCACAAATCAGTAAGTATTATTCCGATAACTTGCAATTTAACGATGTTATGACATTTTCGGTGTGGGTGCTATAGCCGACCGTCCTCGAGCGTCGAGGTTGGCTCGTCACGTCTCATTACGCCTCTGAGCCTTGGCCCTGAGATCGTGGCGGCCCTTCCATATCGCGTTCATCCTTACCGCTCATGCTGACCAGGAAGTTTTTTATACTCTAAAATACTGTATCTACTGCTTGCATGTGTTAGAATAACTAATATCTTTCACAAAACTAAGTGGATTATTCCGATTACTTTAAATTTAAGGAAGTTATAACATTTTCTGTGTTGGGTCATGACATGACATTATATAAATTCGGCTCCAGGCCACGGCATTGATGCTTCCGGACGATGCAATGCCCATTGCATATCGCATTCATCCTTAGCGCACGACGGTCGATTTTTAAGCATGCTCAGAAAAAGCATGCTTATTTCTAGTAACGTATGTATACACATGCTACTAACGGGAGATAATTTCTGTTATTGGTGCCGCAACCCGGTCAGTGAAACAAACATCTCTCCAAAGAAACGTGGAGAAAAAGTATCTCAGCCCTTAACAGTCGGCATGTCCGTAATACCTCTGAAGCAGACCGATTAATGCTCAGAAAGTCGATATCGACAGCGAGAAATTCAAGTAGGTCATCCCAGTTGTGGTCCCAGGAAGAGGGAAGAGCTTTAAAGGCAGCAAATACATTTGGGGGATGTTTTGGAGTTGAGGCGAATCCACAGAATCTTCCGGCCTGATTCCGGATAAACGTCTCTGGAGCAGGAAAGACTGCTGTGGACTTGAGCCACAACTCCCCTGTTCCTCCTCAGATTCGAGTGCACCTCGTAATTTGGGAAGCTAATATGATTAATCGATGCAGCAACGGAAATGTTGGTCTCCGCTAAGAAAAGCATGATGGGACGATTAGACTGCAGATAGTAGTGAACAGCATCAATGTTGCTGTTAATACCGCAGATTGTTCGTGAAACAGTTTTTATCATCGATGTTGTTCCTACGAGTCCACCCGGAAATTCCGAGAAAGAGTGATTTTACGTCCGGAATTTTTAGTACTCGAGGGATTCTTGATCATTAATTTTTGTGTGGTGAAAAGAAAGGGAAGATAACCGACTGCGTAGCTTAGGTGGTCTCGGTCGACTGGTCCTTGTCTACCACCTTTTTTCTTGTTAATGATGTTAAATAGACCTAAAGTGGCCACCCCGCAATCGGTACGGAGGTATTCATAACACTTGTATATGTATATAGAGTACAACTTCCGGAACAAGCATTTACCACTGCCCGCCTTAGTAGGGGGGGGGGGGATTATTCATGCACAGGCTCATCCATATTATTAAACCAGTTCTCAGAACCCTGGTTGAAAAGTACTCATCAGCCCCACAGGTATTAGGCCTGCGTGGTGGCTCAAGCATATAAAAAAGATTATCAGATACATTATGAAAAATTGAAACTGAAATATTTTGAAGCCAATTGACCTTTGAAATCAACAGGATGGTATAGTGTTGCTTATGGCATGATCTACCACTGTTTGAATATGGATACCTTTGCTACGAGTACTAAATTAGCAGCTCATATGCTCGAAGCCGCCGCACTATTATACTTGAGATCTGTAAAATCTTGAAATTTCCGTTGAATTGTCTTTTAACTGTTATATATTTTTAGAAAGCTAAAAAGACGCTGATTTTTTTGAGTGCTTATGCAGGAAAACTTCGATAGTATTTTTTTAGAGTAACTTGCTTGAAGTTGAGAATACCAGATAAATATACCAAAAGTTCCACATTTATCTACCTGCTGTTTCGACCTATCTGTAATTTGTTATCAGGGGATATACTTACTGGCCAGAATATCCAAAATTACCAGATCTAGAGACTCGACTAAGAAGAAAAATATGAATGAGCACATAAAAGTCCAAATTTTTAGGGTCTGTTGATATTTAGATAGTAAAAGGTGTATCAAAATTCACGCAGAGTTTGAATTGAATATAAGGTCCAGTTTTTGTTAAGATAGTTATTTTTTATTGTATTGTAGTGTAATATGAAGAATTAGCACATCAGGTAAATTTGCTCTACAGCTTTGCATGCGCATATGCATTCTTTTATCGATATTCCGCAACACGCTTTTGCATTAATGTGGCTGATTTTTTGGATGTCACATTGGATTTTCTTCTTCAAATCATGAGTGTATGTGGCACTTCTTTCTGCCTAAATTGGATGTGGATAATGGTTCCAAGAATACGGAGCTATTTGCCATAGATCTCGTGAAGCAATTCAATTACTGCATGAGACACTACCTGGTTGTGCACTCGATCGTTTCTGTGATCAGAAATGACCCATAGACCTATATCTGCCTAAATTGGGTGATGTGTATAACGTGACGTTTCAACACGATACCGTACCCTGCCATACAGCCAATGAAACATGTCAGTTGCTGTGTGAGACGTTCGCTGGATGTGTACTCTCTCGTTTCGATGATAAGAGTTGTCACCTTAGATCGTGTAATTTAACACCATTGGGCTTCCTTTTATCGGTGTGTTTGAAATCAATGTCAAAAAGAAAATTTAACGCTGCCTCAACAAAAATCATTCATATTTATACAAAATATCAGCAAATTAGTGAGTATGACCTCCATGAGCAAACTATCAATTTGTACATAATTCTATGCTGAAGAATAAGAACTTTTTTATTTGTTTCAAATCTTGCGTGAATTTCAACGTCCTTAAATATCGTCCACGGCTTTATCTGTAACCCTGTTTAATGTACTTCAGCATGGCATGCAGGCGTGGGGTGACAACGATGATTCTGAGGATTCACGTCGTTCGACGCCAGTGCAAAGTACCCTTCAGCCGCCGCCTGCTCACCAACAGACCTCCAGGTCTCTGAGCGTCACCAGCATGAAAATGCCTTATGACCTCCAGTACCACTCCACGCCAGCCTCCAAGACTATCGGCCAGACCACTGTCATTCCGGGCACCAGCAGTACGTTAACACCGATTGATCTCAGTTCTAGGTATGTTTAGGGTCCCAAGTTTCTATACACGCATTTTCGTATCTCGGACAAAAAAATAGTGAGTGCATATATGCTGATAAATGATTAACTCAAGAAGTACTCGCAAATAAACACTATTGAATATAAAAGTATAAGAAAAGGTACTCTGGTAGGTACTGTTAAGCACAACTGCTCCCTCCCTCAATATCGAATCATAATGAAGTGAAAAAGCTGTTTTCACAATAAAATTGTGACCAACTTTTTTCAATTTCATACGAACAAACCTGAAGCGAAGATCAGATTCGTCTTAAGGAAATTTTGTAATCACCTGCATGCCTCAAATGTGTTATTTTTCAGCATTCCAAAGAATACAGACAAGCTTTCAGCCAGCGAAATTCAGGACGAAGTCCAAGACTTTTCTGTAAAAAAGCCGACCACCCCGACAACTACTGCTAAGAACACGAATAAGTTGGATGATACGTTATCGAAACTAATGAAGAGGAAGAATTGCGTAAGTTATTATTTATGCTGGACTTTTGTCAGCGACCTGTCAGCGTCGCGTAACCATTGCATCTTGTTATATGTTTATCGAATCAGTCGTCTTAATTTGAACCAAAAATAACATGTTTGTCTGGTCAATCAAACCACATCTGTTTCAAATTCTCCTTTATTGTATACGTTCAGGTCACAACAGTAAAGTAAAATATTGTCAAAAAGTATCAATGTATTAAAGAAGATTGCAATTGTGACCGAAACGTATACAATAAAGAATTTCAAACACCTGTGGTTCAATTAACCAGACAAACATGGGGATCACAAATAAGTGTCTTTTAACTTTGCTTCACTATGTCCAAAGATAAAATTTAATTAATCATTTTGTACTCATGCTTCGGAATTTTTGATAATTGCAGACATCTATAAACTGCTGTGCATATTGTATTTTGGCGACTTTACAACGGTAACATCATTCCTAGTAAAGGGAATAAAATAGAGATTTGTGAATCAATGATGTCTTGATGGCAGTCATAATGTATGATGTAACACTCAATTGAATAGCTTCAAAGTGATCAACTCGGCTAGCCTTAAAAAACCTTGAACACTCGCGTTAGTATATGTTTTATTGTGCTACAACGCTTTATATGGAAAATAATACTAGATTTTTGCGGCTATGTATATGTACAGGGTGGCGCAGAGGAAACGGCATGATTTTCACGTAACATTTGTTTATGTTTAAGATAATTTTATTTTAACTACAGCTATAAAAGCTATAAAGTAATAATAGTGCACTTTTAAATTAATTATGCTAAATTATGTCACTCAAGTTCGCCCTTCTTCGTGCTCGCACATCTCCAACCGCTCTTGAAAGATGTGCATTACACGTAGGATCATTTCTTGTGGTATTCTTGCGAGTTCTTGACTTATAGCAATTTTCAGTTCCTGTAACGTACGGGGTTTGTGAGGGTACACTTTAGCCTCACAAAAAGAAGTCGCATGCAGACAAATCTGGGGAGCGTGGAGGCCAAGAAACATCGCCGAAACGGGCTAAAACTGCATTGCCTGTGTTCTCTGCTGGCGGTGAGGCAAGGTCAACCCACTTCTCTTTGCGAAATACTAATCACTCAGAAAGCATGCGTTTTCTCTGCACCACCCTGTATATATATATATATATATATATATAAAAGGTCCAAGACCGTTTCAAAATGTAAAGGGGGCTGATACCGAATTATTTGTATCATAGTTTCATATATGTATATTGCAAGCAATGACAATGAACCTGCCAATAACCTTATTGGCTAGTCTATGACGAATTACAGCCAATTTGAGTAATATTAAAGGAACCATAATACAAACACGTTGCTAACATCATTGGCGGGAAAATGACGTTTAGTCCCGCAAAATAGCGACCAATGATGATAATAGTTACATGTAAGGTTATGTTACAATGTGTGGTTGTTTTTTGTATCAGTTGCGTCCGTTTTACACACAGTCTCAGATATGACCTCACTTCAATTTGCTCAGTTTATTGCGCATTCTTTTTACTAAAAGACAGTTTGAATGAGGTAAGATTCTCAGATGGACCTCAAAGACATTAAACTGAGAATTTTAACAACGTTGTTCGCCCGCAGTGTACATTCAATTTAATGCCTGTCCAGTAACACTAATGTCTAATTATCGACTTTGCCCGTAACACGTAGCCTCTATCTTTTTGTATATCAGGTATTTCAAATTCGACTCTCATCGTCATTAGGATCTCGGAAACCGTAAGAGATACGAAGTTGGCTGAATGGAGTTTTTAATTTTTTTCTGGCCTTATTTGAGGTGGGATTCCAAAGTAGATTGCACATTCACATTGCTGGTTTTCCGTCTACACGGTAGCATAATTAGAACTTCAATCTGACGTTCCGTCTCTTGTCCTCATACATCATCTTTATTTTTTCTTACAGACGATGTTTGCATAAGCGAATAGTTTTTAATTCTGATTTCAAAAATACATATACATGCTGACATTGATAAACCTTAGTTATTTCAAAAAACTAATATCATAATTATTTCTGAGAAACGTGTTTAAAGGACGACCATAACAAACGTTGTTTAACACAATGGAGCACTAAATGGCACCTCAGCCGTAGATTAATATTATTTAAATGCAAGATGTGTGCATCGGTTTAGATATAATGGATATGAGATATGTTCAGCAACCTGAAGCTTTTAGTTTAAAATTTTTCAGGTCAGTTTCATAGTATTCCTAAAATGATACCGCTTCCAATTCCACTACTACCTTGAACATATCATTATATTGTTATTTATTCGATGATTTAAGACCAACTATAGGATGATTATTTCATACATTTGAATTCTTATAAAATCAAACCAGGTACAATATCACATCATGATCAAATAGTGATGGTTCACCTATGCTCAGTTTATAAAAACTGAAGGAATACTTGGCTTATGATAGCATGAGTAACAAATGACTGTGGTAATTTCAATTTGCAGGATTAATCTGTGACATATCAATTTTTTTAATCAGAACAAAAAAGTCTGTGCAAATATCAGTAAGAAAAAATAAATTTGATGGTTGAGGGCGAGAGGCGAAAAGAGACGAAACCTTGTATCGAAATTATAATTATTCCAGCTCATAGAGCAGAAAAAGTAGCAGTGTTAATATGCAATTTCTTTTGAAAACCCACCTAATAGTCTAGAATTATATATTTTTTTAAATTCTGCTTTTTACTCCCACGCCTACTGGCGGTCGGTCTGTTCGCTAATCTTATAACCGCCTATAACTTGAGAAGTACCCCTCTGGTTTGGATGGAATTTTTACACAATGTTACTACTATGTCAAGGACGCAAGAGCTTTGTAGTTTTTGAAAATCGGTCCAGTGGTGGCAGAGAAAAAGGCTAAAAACGAAAAAGAATGAAAATCGCCAAATCTTCGTTTCAGAGGATCCTGATCACGTTTGAAAAAAGTTCAAAGGTAAATAAACTTTGGGGGTGGGGAGGGTTTATTTAAATTTTTTGATACTGGCACATTTATACGCTCCCAGCATTTGACCAGGTTAAGGCGACGTTGCCAGATGTACTACCGGTGGTAGTTCAGGGAAAGAATATCTATGGACTAAGTGTTGGACCTGGTTTCTCAGAGGGTCTAGTTTGTGTGGAACATAATCCTTTATAAACTGATAATGGAGTTACGTGGGAAGCGCAGAGTCAACCTACTTGTCATCTAGATCTTCCCAAATGCGCAACGTTTCCCTCACTCAACCGACTTCGTATCTCTTAATGTTTCCGAGATTCCATTGGTGAGAGTCAAATTTGAAACACCCGGTATATTTTAGCAACATACTATTAAATTATGTTTTTCGACCTTTGCAGCCGGAACCCGAACCGCTGGTGGGTAAAGAGAACAAACGCCGAAAGCTGGACGAGATCGTCTTAGGCCTGTCTGCTGCTAAAGAGCAATCACTGTTCTCTGTGTCGGAGCCGTCCAAAAAACCACCTGTGACGCCTAGCGTTACGGTGACCCCCGCTTCGGCGCCTGTAACAACATCTCACAGTCCTATACAGAAACCGTTCACGATAACTGTCACATCTGTACCTTCTACCAGTAAAGGTAAATATAAAACATAAAGACTCATGTAGTGAGGGTGACGCCAAAAGTAGAATCATAAACATTGCTTAAGAAATGCATTTCAGATTCTGCGCATGTGGTATCTATCAAGTCTCAATCTCCCTCCGTCTCTTTCTCGCTCTCTCTCTCTCTCACATGCATGTGTATACATGCTATGAGAGCAAACAAATGTTTGTTCGAATTGAGATACGCATATCCTCTACTTTTTCCATTTGACTCTAACAACTCAAAAAATAAATATTATTGCGATCAGGGAACGATAATGCTTTCGGTCAAACTTTTTGAACTTGAAAGTTAAGTATAGATTTCAAAACCCCATTCTTATTCGACAAATAAGACACTGCTTCATTTGTATCTGATATTTCTTAGATATTTATCATTCAAGGAATATTATTTACTAAATTTTCTTTTCAAAGTTTTCTTTCTACAGTCAGGATATATCTGCCTGTGTTCTTGGAATTTATAAAAAGTGCCATGGAAAAAATTGAATAGAGTGGATTCAGAGATTTTTTTAAAGTTGTAGACGTATTATTTCGTGGCTTCGAGGCAGTGTACAAAAGAGAGAGATGCCCTAGGCCCTAGGCACAGTAGGGTAGGCCTATGATGGCAAACAAGTGTTTGCGAAATCATGTATGAATTTGTATGGATTTCAAAACCTTATTTGACAAATAAAACACTGCTTTATTTGTATCTTATATTTCCTAGATATTTATTATTAAAAGAACATTATTTACTTGTTTTTTCAGTTTTCTTTTTACAGTCAGGATATACCTGCCTGTGTTCTTGTACGCACACTAATAAAATTGTTTTTGTTCCCCTACAGCAGTGATTAAGCCAAGTCTTGCATTAACTTGACAACTCCCTCTGTTGTATCGTTATCTGCTCTCAGTGTTTGCGCCTTATTCTTAGCGTGTTGAAAAGAATCATTATGTGTGAAGTTGGACACTCGTCGAGAAAACCGTCATCAATTTTGAGTCGAATGAACAAGGACTTGCTTTTTATTGAAACAAAGCCATCGATATTTTTCTGAAATGAAAAAACGAAGAATAGCTACCATCTAAACATATTGGTTTTGTCCGTCCGACCACAAACAGTCAACCATGGCAGAACTTTTGTGAGGCTGCTTTTGAAATGGGTTTGTCAATTCTTTCGTAAGCCTTCATGTCTTTAAAAAACATAAATCCTGGTTAGGTGCTTTTGCCGCTAAAGTGCATTGCAATGACGGTTTCACGTACATATATTGTCACGATGAACAGGCATATATCTAACAGAGCTGCCGTATCCGTATTAGAAAGTTTGAGCTGGGAACCTAGTAACTATTTTTAATTAAAAGATTGCTCTGGTCATCCATCGAGCTTGATGCATGACGCCTGGCGGTCGAATCTTAATTTTTTTTCTCTAAATCTCCGCCGAGGAATATTATTGAAACTTCAATTAATTGTCGATAGTCGTCTATAGCAACTTCTTTGATCAATTCATGTCGATAAAATTCTAGCAGCCTGCCAGTCTCCGAAATATTCAGGCATAATGGCTTTTCAGTATAATTCTATATTTTCCACACCTTCACAGCTCTCGTGAAACTTTTTAAACATTGGAATGTTACGGCCTGGCAACAGGACATTCGCCACAGCGAATATTCGCGCGGTGCGAACGGCGAAGCATCCAGCGACTGAAACAAACGCATAGAAATGTAGTTATCAAGCCACGCGCAGCGGCGAATGGCAAAGCGACGGGCGAAGTGTACTGCGCGAAGCGCGCGGGCGACTGGCGGCGCGGCGGGTCAGTGAAACAAAGGCATGAATGTTTGCGACCATATGTTTTTTCGGGCAAGTTGTTTATATTGGTGGGTACTATCATTCCCCAGGTAATAGGCACTAGTTTTGATGAGAAATGAGATTAAAAATGCCAGCAATTATATTAGTTGCAGAATATTGTTGATATTATCTGGGTTTTAAAAGATATAAACACCCTCTTAATCACGACATTTGCAGAAAGGAACGGATCCTATACCTACCATGACGTTGCCATATGCAAGAAATATAAGAAAATTAACGAAAATACGCATTTCCACGCGTAGCAGCTCTCCTTCTCGTCTAGAATATTCATTTGAACAATTTTGCTAAGCTTCTTGACATGATTTTATATGATCGTATATACCAGTCTGCAAAAAATTGCATTTCTATTTACCAACACGGTTTCACGAAGTTTCGGTCAACTATTAGCAACTTAGCGGTTTTTAGCCAGTTGTTATGAGAATCAGTTGACAGCAGGGGTCAAGTTGATGTAATGTATGCCGAGTTTTCCAAAGCTTTCGACAAGATCAGTCATGAGATTCTCCTCAAGAAACTTTGTTATCTAGATTTACAAAATAACTATGTCTTGCTATTAAAATCATATTTATCTAATAGACAACAATACGTATCTGTAAATAATGTGAGATCGGAAGTATTCACTGCCACTAGCGGTGAGCCGCAGGGATCCAATTTGGGACCTCTTCTATTCTCACTTTATATCAATGATTTGTGTGATTCACTTAATTGCAATAAGCTATTGTTTGCGGATGATTTAAATATATATATATATATATATATATATCAGTATCCAGTGAAGAAGACTGTATCATCTTACAGGAACAAATCACTTTCCTACAGAACTGGTGTGTAAGAAATCATCTGGATTTGAACATTTCTAAATGCAAAGTAGTAACATTTAGTCGCAAGTCCAAGCCTATATCTTATCGGTATACTATTGAGAATTCGACACTAGCAAGAACCGATTGCATTAGAGATTTAGGTGTCTATTTTGATAGTCAGTTGACATTTAATTTTCATGTAAGCCAAACAGCGCTGAGTGCTTGTCGCACATACGGTTTTATTGTTAGGAATTGCAAGAATTTCAATGACACCTCAGCATTATCGTCTCTGTATTTCAAGTCTAGTAAGATCTAAACTGAAATATGGCTCACTCATATCGAGTCCTACATATAGTCAATATATCGTTGCTATTGAAAAAGCACAAAAGAAATTTTTGAAATTCATAGCTTTTAAAATCGATGGTGTGTATCCACCAAGAGGCTGTAGTTATCCTGAGCTGCTACATAGATTTGATTATCAGTCTTTGGAGAGCCGTAGATATCAGTTATCTGTTCTTTTCTTGCACAAGCTTTTCCATGGAAAAGTAGATTGTCCTGTATTGTTAGCTCAAGTAGATATTCTGGTTCCTAGAATCACATCTAGACAATACAGGACTTTCCTGTGCAAAAGAGCTCAAACTAACTTACTACGAAAGGCTCCAATCAATTTTATGTGCCGAAATGCCAACAAAATTTCATGTGCATGTGATATTTTTCACTGCAGTGTCTGTGAATTAAAGAATAAATCTCGCGCCCATCTATGATGGATTTTTGTCAAGTTTTTCATGTTTCGTTTGTTTCTGTTTTTTTTTCTGTTTTACATTTTGTGCTGTAACTACCATGTAAGCTATACTACTGCTTTTTACTCTGTAAATGGTGATCACTGTTGGGCAATAAACACATTATTATTATTATTATTATAGAATCCACCTCTACCCCGATTCCTATTCAACTCATTTTCTCCACAATCTCTTCCATATATTGTCTTGAACCAAAAAACTATTACTTTCTAAACAATATCGAGATAATGTTGATAAAGGCTTTTTTCTCTCGGCCTATAATAGTCGCGGCGGCGAACGTGACTGCCCGTGGCCGGCTAACTGTGTCGCGCGAATGGTCGTCCCGCCCGCCGCATAGTCGTTCGCGCCGCCCATCCCCGAGGTCAAGCCATTAGGGCTTGTAGTCACTTGGTCGATCTTTGATTAAAACACGCCTTTTAATACTCATTCGTAGACTTGATGGCGGCAAACAAAAATAAGCATTTCTTTGTTACGTTTCTGTTCGAGAAGCACGCAGGCACTGTTAATGCGACCCGTATTTTAAACAGTAGTATCACAACAGAGAATTTAAAATTTATCTTCAAGATTCCAGTCAACAATAGCATCTCAAACTGCCTGAGCCTGCGCGCTGCCTGAAGAGTTAAGATAAGGAAGAAACATATTTACCTGGCCGCTTTTGTTCTTCGGTGTTCCTAAGATGCGCCTTATCTTCTTTTATGGTCAGTTATATGTCCACCCCAGCTAAATTAAATGACCAGGTCGACCTGACCCTCTCTGCCCTTGCAACAAGATCCTATCTTCATTTATTTTCATCAGTTGAAGGGTATCGGCATGCGCAATGTTAAACAGATTATCCAAGTTCGTAACAAACTCTTGTCAACTCTTGCTCAACCACTTCTTATATAATATCCTGACTGAAAAAGGAAAACTTTGGAAAGAAAATTTAGTAAATATTTTTTTTATGAAACATATCTAAGAAATTTAAGATACAAATAAAGCAATGTTTTATTTGTCTAATAAGAATAAGGTTTTGAAATCCATAGGTGGTTTCCCTTTTAACTTTCAAAGCTTGGCAGAAAGTCGGCATCGGTTATTGTTCCCCGATCGCAATAATATTTATTTTTTGAGTTATTAGAGTGAGTCGAATGGAAAAAAATTAGAGAATATGCGTTTGAAAAAGTGACTTGCATTATCTTGGCACACCTTAGTATACATGCGCATAAGCTCTACGCAGACTATATTTCTGAGAGCCACGTCTACCTAACCTCCAGTATTGACTCCATATAAATTCATGTCTTCCCTTATGTAGTTTATCCATATTTAGAGAGAGGGAACATTTAATTATTATTTAGTTAAAGCTTGCAAAACGACACTTCATCTTGATGAGAGATTTTGAAGATTACTGTCTTTGAAACAGTTCAAAGCTGTCTGAAATTGGGTATGAAAATAGTCAGCAGATATTCGCTATATGAAACATGTGAAAGTTTTGTAAGACAGGTCTTTTGTTCTTAGGATGCCGAGATTGTACAATCAGCATAAAGATGTTTTTCTCAGTTCTACTTGTTACATAGCTTTTAGAGTGTAATCGATCAATAGCTCGGTAATTTTAGAAGATATCTACTAAAGTTAACTACAAAAATAATAGGCTTATGAATATGCTGCTCTCTACAGGATAATATTTATTACTACACGATAATACAAAATATTTTATAAATTGAATACCGTGTATATTTCAGTTTAATTAAGTATGTACCATAAATTTAACAAACGATTCTTTGAGTAATTTTAAGACAAAAAGTTCATATAAACAAGATTAGGGTGTAAATATTTAAGAAAAAATAAGGAACTAATTTAGCCATAACTTGATTAAATTTATTAAGTCCAGTGGCATCTCGAGCGGGATCTGAACGAATATTTGTGACAAAAAAATATACGCCACTGAGTTAAGTGTAATTTTTATTATGTTCTTAATTGCATATCCCTGGACCACACAAGAAATATGCGGAGAGGTTTTATTATTATTTTATTCATAATTTCTGATAACTAGTTATGTTACAACAAATAAACACTAAATTAAAATACATTAACATTAACATCTAAAGTAATGAATTTTACTAAACTTAGGAATAGTAAATAATAATCGAGTGTTTCCTGGGAAAACGATTGCAGCATTTAGCAAACAACTTAACAGTCGTCAAGATAGTATTTATAAAGTTTTGATTTATGATTTTTATAAAAAAGTGTTTTTAGTGGTTATTTTTTGTCCAACCCCGTTCCAGATTACTAATGGTGAAGTGGCAGATATGCATTTCTGTTATGGAATGGCTCATGAAAATTCTAATGCTGCAATACGCATTTATTATGAAAGATTTCATCGGCGTGTAGTGCCTTAATTGAAGAACTTTTTTACGTTTCCAAGCACGACTTTCTGAAATAGGCAACTTGAAAAAATTGACGGTTGTCATCGGGAGGCCTGCAACGGCACGAACAGTTCAAATTGAAGAAGCTGTTTTAAGAGCAATTGAAGCAAATCCTCATACCAGTGCTCGGAAAATAGCTGAAGAACTGAATATTACCCAAGTAGCAGATTTTAAGAGACCAAAAACTATATCCGTATCATATGCAACGTCTGCAAGCTCTATTGCCCAGACATTAACATTTAAGACTGGCTTTTTTTGTTTGGTTACGCAGTAAAATTATAAGGAATCCAGGTTTTCTAAATCGAATAATCTTTACAAACGAAGCTTGTTTTTCTCGCAATTTCGCAATTCAGTTAGTAACTTCCACAACAATCACATTTGGGCCGAAAACAATCGTCACGCCGTAATAGAACATAATTTTCAAGAACAGTTTTTTTTTTTAATATCTGTGTTGGAATTTTACCTGGACTTTTGGAAGAAGTTCCTGTCATGGAACGATTCCGTATGTGGTACATGTACGACGGGACTACACCACACTTTGGTGTAGTAGCGTAGCAATTTTTTGATGGAAAATAGCATAATCGCTGGATTGGGCGAGCAGGCCCACACCTATGGCCCCCTCGCTCGCCCAAAATGAATCCCTTAGATTGTTTTCGCTGAGGATACCTTAAGGCGTTGGTATACAAAACTAGTATTGAAAGTGAAGAGGGGGTTTAAGGAATATCATCAAATTCATGTGACAATAAAAAATACGCCAGGTATTTTCAGGAGAGTGCGTAATTCAATGATGAAGCTCCTAGGCGGTTGTATTGAAGCCGAAGGGAGCCATTTTCACCAAATGTTCTGTTCGATCGCATTAATCATTACTAAAAAGTATACTCGTTATTCATTAGGCGGCAGCTCATCATCTGGAATCCCGAATCTGCTACCACAGTTTTCAGGCTCTGCCAAGGATAGTTTCTCTTCGTTCCTGGCGCAGGCCGAACAGCAGAACTTGTTATTGAAAAAACAGCAACAGCAACAACAACAGCAAAGAAAGAGCTACGAGGCGATGATCGCTGATATCGGAAAAGTATCAGATTTTAGCTCGAAGGTTAACTCCTACTCTCATGAAGCTAAGGTAATTGATATTTTATTACTTCGATTCTCCTAGGTGATATACCCCTGCAGGTCTGTTTCACATTAAAAATTATTTTTTTGCACATTTTTTTATTCACTGGTTTTTTACCCCGCCCCATTTCAACATACAGAATGTGTCGGACATCATTGAAGTTAATTTTAATCTAAAAAAATAGTAGGCTGATGGTTTGTCAACTGATGCCTCGTTTATGTTAGTAAGATCTGAATCAGTCCTTCAGGGCACTATAAAAGACACTACAGAAACCTCATGGGTAATGGCTTTCGGTTATTGTTTTTTAAATTAGTATGACAACAAGTAGAACAAAAGGGTTCGTGGACTCAAAGTTTTTCCAGTAGCAGTTTCCGAGATACAGATCTTCCCAAGTTGGGCAATCTGTAACCTATTACAGAATATGGTGCGCTTGGTATAAGATATGCAATAGTTGTTTGAGTCTTAGTATTTAATACTTATTTATTTTCATCACCTCAGTGACCATTTCAGCAACATTGTAATTCTGTCGCATGTACAGGGTGACTCAAACTTGTATGAGTGGAGTATTGCACTGAGATGGCAGCCAGTTCCTCGACCTCTGACTACTGAATTTTCTCTAAGAAGATATAGTCTTCAGTTATATCCTGTCCTTGAAATGTTCGAATTAGTTAGGTATACAAAGTTCTCAAAAACGTATAAGTGGTTGTTGCTTAAAACATTAAAATTTGACACCTTGTGAATTTGCCTATTTCTACTATACATTGTTCTTAGAAGCCCAGTCAAAGTAACACCTGAAACTTATCCCGTGGTTTTTATGTTGATAGTCCTCCATGTTTTTGTGGCCGCACATAGAAACTACATGTGTTTTAGTTACTCTTTACTGATACTAATACAAACATGGTCAAGTGTGTGGTAATGCGATGAGGGTAGAAGATTCTATTTAAGAATGCAATATTTTCACTCTATTAAAACGGGCGAGATGCGGTTTGATAAACGTTCATGCTTAATTAGACAAAATATGTATGTCGAACAAACCTCTTTAAAATTTAGTATTCAGGTCTATTCAAAGCTGCGTAAAAAATATGGTCTATAAGAGAACAACTTTTTTTGCAGCTCAGTAGTAGAACATCCTATACAGGGTGGTCCAACGAAAAGGTCGCACCCCCATTTGTCACTCTCCTGGTGTATTTTGGGAAAACGCTCGAAAACGTCAATTTTGATTTCTAGGGAGACGTCTTTTCATCTATAGCGGTACAATACAGGGTGATCTAAAAATAAGATATTGCGTTACACTTTACATTTTCGAATTAAAACCCATTTTTTTATTTTTAGATTTTTTTAGTAACTTTGTATAACAAAATTTATACCTGATAATAATAGAATGAACGGAAAAAATAATAATCATGGATACCAGCAAGAACATTTAGCATCAGTCAGTGCCACCGTATGTCATAGAAAAACTTTGCTTTTCATTTCAAATTGTTAACTTACCTACCTAGTTGTGATAAATATTGAACAATGACTTATTCAATTCAAGAAAGAGTAGAAATAACAAAACTGTATTACCAAAATGGGAACATTGCAAGATCTACTGCCCGGTTGTTTGACGCGTTACTTCCAGACAAAAATATTAACGATAAGTATGTGGCTATGATAAGAAAATTTGAAGAAACTGGATATGTGTCTAATATTCGTCATCGAGTAAATCGACCAGTTAGAAATGAAGAAATATCAGTTTTAGGATACGTAGCACTTGACAACACCCAAAGCACTCGTGGACTGGCTACTTCTGCAGGATTTACACGCTCGATAGTGCAAAGAATTTTGAAAGACAAATTTAACCCGTACAAGATAGAACTTGTCCATGAGCTTAATGAAGACGATTTTGATGACGGTTAGAGTTTTGCGAGTTAATGTTAGAACGTTTAATCAACAATGCAAATCTGTTATTTACTATTTGTTTCTCGGATGAGTGCACTTTCTATTTACATGGTGCTGTAAATACACATGATTGTCGATATTGGAGGGACTCGAATCCACATTTGTTTCGAGGGGTACACTCGCAATATCCTGAAAAAGTGAATGTGTGGGCCGGTATTTTCGGAAATCATATTGTAGGACCTTTCTTTATTCTTGGAAACTTGGACTGGCAAGACGTACTTGGATATGCTAGAAAATACACTACAGCCACGAATTACCGTGATAATAAAAAAGGACGATAATTATAATGAAAATTACATTCATTTCCAACAAGATGGTGCTCCGCCGCACTCTGTGGTGGCTTCAGTATGACAGTTTTCGGACACCCATTTCCCGAATCAGTGGATTGGCAGACGAGGCCCCTTCGAGTGGTCGCCGAGATCTCCGGACCTACGTCCTTTAAATTAATTTCTTTGGGGACATATGATAAGTAAAGTTTTTAGTACGAAGCCAGATTCCATTCAAGATCTTCGTCAGCGGATTTCGGCTGAATGTAGACAAATAACTCAAGACATGCTTGAATATGTGAGGAATAAATGCGAACAAAATCTTTATTATTGCGTGGAGGTAAATGGACACCACTTTCAGCACATTACCACATTGACCTACCTCTTTATAGCGAATGAATTTTTGTTTTAACTTCAATATACGTGTAAACTGTAAGTTTTTTTTTTAATACTTAGAGACTTGTTTTTAATTTTAAATTCTTGTCACTATGTGAACTTTATTAATTATTATTTTCACAATATGATCCCTTATCTCTAATTTCTAGAATTTTATTATAAACTCAAATAGCTTCACATTGATTGAAGATAGGTATACACTTTTACAGAAGTTACTAAAAACTAGAAATCTAAAGTGTAAGGCAATATATTATTTTTGGATCGCCCTGTAATGTACGGCTATAGATGAAAAGACGTCCCCCTAGAAATTAAAATTACGTGACCGGGCGTTATTCCCTAAATATATCAGGAGAACCACAAATGGAGGTGCGACCTTTTCGTTGAGCCAACCTGTACTTAAAACCATGAATATTTTTGAAATGTATTCCTACAGGGAAGGTGCAGGAGAATCCCTATAACAGCATTTGAAAAAGTTTATTTCTCGGATAATTGTTTCTTCAATGTAACTTTGGGCCACCCTGTATACGTGATAGAAGTGCAAACTGGCTAGTAGAAATAATGATAAAAAACGTAATGAAAATCAAATATCTTTGATATATCATGTACCAAACCCACAATACACTGTAATAGGGTATGGACTACCCAATTTGGAAGCCCTGTACTTTGGAAACTGCTTGTGGAAGAGCCTTTGGCCATTGGACACTTTTATTCTACCTGTTGAGATCTACATCTCTGATTTAAAAAATAACCGAAAGCCATTTTTCATTAGGTTTCTGCTACTATCCATCAACGGATCATCCACAGAGGTCTAGAAATTGACAAACTTTCATTAAAATTAGCCTACTAGTTTTTTCGAAAGTTGTTTTTTACTATGTAAATTTTTCAATCAACGGAAAAGCCATTTCTCAAGTTTCTGCGGGGTTAATGCATTGAAAAATTTCAAGTATGTCGCTCGTCTTTTATGAATTCAAGATGCATTTGATAGAACAATTTGAATTACATTTCCTGTGTGCATTTTTTGCGTATTTAAGTTCCTTTTCAACAAAACTACATTGATTTTTTTTTTGAAAACGGAGTTTCTTTCGAAAAATAAGCACAGTATGTAAAAAGTGCAAGAAACACGATAAGTGCATTTTGTTATTTTATTAAAACGACAGTATTCAAATCATGAAAGGCCAGTGGCGTACATAAAAAATCCAAGTAGGGTGTGCTATATTAAAACTCACTAACATGGGCACAATTCGAGTTTGAATAAGTGGTAAAAGTAACTTCAGACTACTCGGGCATCAGATAGAAATATTACGATTTGATGTAGAAAGAATTGCTATGAGTGTAAATGCAACATGTACATCGAAAATTTTGTATGATCATTTCAGGTCAACAAATGGCTTGCTGAACAAAATGCGGCATTAGCTGAACAGCCTTTGAGTGCCGATTACCTATCACCTAGAAGGAGAAGGCCAAGAGTTGACCCTACTCTGCTTGATTGGAAGAAACTAACTGGGGATGAAAATGTTGCTGTTATTCACAGAGTTACTGGTAAAAAATTGACAGGTAAGCTATAATTGCTTACCTAAGTTAATGTAAGTTCCAGAACATAACGTGTAGTTACCACTCTCATCCAGCACAGTTTCCTAACTGGCTAATAAATCGAGCCACAGATGTTGTATGAATGACTACCTACTTTTGGAATCTCTCTCTCTCTCTCTCTCTCTCTCTCTCTCCTCCCATTTTCGAGGGACCGCTCCTCGATCTCTCTAGCCCCACGAAATGGAATGAACTGATTTCTTTTATAAAAATGAACTATGACAAAGTTGTCGATGTACAGGTTTCTCCCCAAGCTGAGCCAATATGTTTTACATAGAAATTACTACGATTGGTTGAACATGGAAATTACTACGATTGGTTGAAAAGTCGTTTATGGAGACAAAGTTTGGCAATTCAGAGTATTTTTGGAGAGAAAGGCAATACGAATTTACCCTGAACCGTCTTCATTTTCTCCTGCTTAATAAAGCTGATCCATTATGTTTTATATGTGAAATTAGTAGGATTAGTGGAAGTCTACGTTGAATTTTAATTGCTAAAAGCACTATATACCTATATGCACCAGGAATTTCAAATTCGGAAATGGTAAGCAATACAATAGAAAATCGTTTTTGAAGGCAAAGTTGCGCATTTAAGTAACTAAGAAAATCTTATTTAGATTGTTGGCAATGCAGAGTATTTTTAGAGAGACAGAAAATCAGAATCTATCCTAACACGTTTTTATTTTCTCCTGGCCTAATTTGAGCTGGGATTTCAATATAAACTACATTAACAGTGGCACTTTTTACAAGCCTTGTACAAGTTACTGTATGTTAGTTCCTTAGTATGCATGGGTGGGACAAATCCTGAAACTGAATTTTTAAGTAATTTAGCAATCGAACTAAAATTTTGTTTCTATAGTTACCCCTATGGTATGATTATTGACTGAAAGGGCTTGATGGCGGTCGCCGCAAAATATCGATATATAGTTTCCATAGTCGCTCCCATATTATGCATAATAAATGAAAGGGATTGATTAAACATAATAAGCAAAGTGCCGTCATTTTTATCCAATATGGCGGACGTTCAATATGACAATAATTGACATTACAATATTATTATGACATGGAAATGATCACATGATGAATCCAGGAAGTGTCCATGAAATAGAACCTAGCTTGATTCCTTACAGTCTGATGATTAAGTTAGTCAACTATTGTGTATAAAATACGCATCTATAATAACTAAATCAAATTTCATTATTTCGCTAAAAGGTTAGTTCAGTCAATTGGGCACGAATACTTAATAGATGTAAGTACGTCTCCCGCATTTACAAGAATTTGTTATATTTTTTTGTTTATTTTATGTATCGCATGCATTTGACCTTGAAATAAGCATACATATATCGTAGATAATTATTTTTGCTTACGTCAATGAAATAGTAACAAAGACCTTATATGTGTCATTTTTTTCACAGATTCTTATTTGTATTATGCATTTAAATTTGGAATTATGATATTCAATTTGTCATAAAATTACCTCACTTTTTTATGTATACATTTCTCACTTTTTCTCGATACTTTTTTTAAATCTGACTTTTCTCACTTAAATTCATGCTGTGGACCGCCAGTACCGCTGACTCTCATTTTCGATTTTTTTCGCGATCACAACACCTTCTCGCACAGTGGCGTAGGAAGTAAGAGAATACATCATAGTTCGAATGACATCCTTCGGCTACCGTTCTGCCGCAAACGGCTCACGGTTTCAACCACCATCAATTTAATTATCAACGGTTTAGTCTTCGAATCCACCGCTTATCTCTCAAACGTCAAATTGTTGATGTCAGAAAAAAGCTACTTAAGCCCAACTGACATAAACCTTACCTCTATGGTAGAAGTAGGGTTAGGTTTTGGCGAAAAATTTAGGCAAGAGCATAAACAGTGAGAATATACTTTTTGGAACCATTTATGTTCTTTAGTCATAACCTTAAAAGTGTAGTTACTATGTTTAAATTGAAACTAACCTATTTTTACGATACTTCATTACGTTTTGACGTTTATTGAAGTAAACACGTGATCATTAAGTTACCAGATTCTTTTTTCAATAATGAATCTGGTGGAACTCTGAATCATATTCAGAGTTATTTACATTAAACGCCAAGGAAAATTTATTTTCACAATAATACCTTCAATGATTGGGAATTTTGAGAACCAAATATAATATAGAGAGATGCAATAGATCACATAGAAGCGTTGCTAGAAAATAATAATCGGTACAAAAAACCACAACAAAATACGGCCACAGAATATCCTCCCCTTTAAATACGACTCTGTCTACAGATATGCCAGAGTTGTCCGTCATTTGACAATGCGAGGTATTTATGAATAAACTAGATAATAATCAGCTGTTATCTGTTTTCACGCTTTTGCCGTGATGAATTATCGTGAAATTAGTTCACTGGACTTCTTTAGTAACGCGATAGCCGTATTTAAAACAATGTATAATTTATCATAATCCATCCTTAGGTCCAAAAGCGCCGACGCTTAAGCGTCTCGGCCAATGGCTGATGGAAAACCCGATGTATGACATCGATCCCAAGTGGACGGAGCTTGTCAAAGAGCGAGGTAACCTGAGCCACGACCTGCAGAAGAGGCTATCCACGCAGCAAGGGAGCGCATGTGCTGGTGGCAGTGGTGCAACATCTGCTGGAGGTAGCAAGACCAAGCAAAGTGGCATACCTGGTAAGCCCTCGCTTTTATCTAGTCCCACAGGTATATCGGACGCACAAAGTAACAGATAATCGTTGACTCATCTAGTTACCGATAGACACCATCTTAGTGCAGAATATTCCACCATGCATTTTGCTGTCACACGTACTCGTACATCGTTCTAGGAAAGTCATTGTATTCGTATTTACACAAATAGGATGGTGCAATATTTTTGTTTTACTCACATTTTAAAAGGTTCCATGTACTCTAAAGGTTATAAGAAAATTTGAAGAAAATAATTTATTTGAAGAAAATGCTGTTACAAGTATAAATTTGCCTGCGATAAGGAACTTGCGTACCTACAGACAGACTCTTGATATTGACATTGACAACAACAACTGATAACAACATGCAACTTTCAGAATCGAGTCTTTACTAAACACCCAAGGTTTAATTAAGCATTATGTAAGCACATTTTTCACAATCATCAAGCCCCCCTGCCACCTGTCAACAAGAGTAAGTAAATCTCCTTTCCCCTCCCATGCTTATGTAAACATTTTGGTACATTTTACAATTTGAAGCAAGTATTGGTGTTTATGCGAATGTTTTGAATACCACCTCTGGAAAATCAGGAACGTCGACCCAACATACTTTGTAGAAACATAACCATCAATTTCCATTGAACTCTATACCTCTGCTAATACATTTGTTCAACCTTTCTAAATGTATATTAATCCAAATGAGACCCAAAATAGTCATGAGGCAGTATCAAACCAGCCAGTTATCGAGTAAGAGGAACCATTCTCAGCGCTATTCGGTTATACATGTTTGTAGCTAAGGGTTTGAGTGAGTAAGCATATCCATATTTGGGGAATCCTTCAACATGCTTTTTGCTTCCGCGCATAGACAAGCAGGGTTGTCTCATGTGTTCAAATCACAATCGTCTAAATTTAATTGAATATGCGAAAAAGTACAAAAAAAATTGCTGCCGTAATTACCATCCAGACCCCCCTTTAGTGCTTACGTAATACTTGAATTGTCCACCACCGACAATAGTTTGCTTCTAAATGTCATTTTTTTAAGCCATGTATGGACGTCAAAATTTAAAACCCGATAAAATAACAATTCGGGGCTGGGCTTACGAAGACCAAGAACAACCGGCACGGGTATTATCTAAAAAACCTATAAAATGTCATCTTACAGACTAGGTAGTTTTTAGGGTGCAAACAGTCATTCCACTTTTGCTCCCTAGGATCGTTGTGAGCGTCCATCTATGGAGGAATGACTCAACTAAACTACACGCATTGTTGGTTGCATATGTTTTGTGAAGCCGAGTCGTCAGTAGTTTTTATTTCTGAGAAGAAAGTTGGTTGGCTAGCAAGATCGCATCTGGATGATTATGTGTATTGGTTTGCATGTGTATAAAATCAGTGAAATTTGCTGTGTGTGAAAATCATTACTGAATATGCTGCCAATGAAGTATATCTATTATCTGTGCCCGAAGGGTTATTTAGTTGTCCCTTCTGAAGACATGCTCTGTTCAAAGTTCAATTTACGATTTCTTACGATTACGTTTTTTGGTGTTTTGAAAAACTTTGAGGAGACTTACGGGAAATTACCGCCGCGCCCGCGTTGTGTGTAATTACTGTTAGCATGTACGGTAATGGACAAAAGTACATAGACAAATTAATATTGTGCTGTATTTATTTTTTAACTTGTTTTATTAATACACCAACCTGTATACATAATTCGTTATAACATTATACTCACTTATACATAAATAAATTCATTAGACTCCCTTCAATAAAAAATTAATTGAAAAAAACTGGAACTATGAAGGACACAAATATAGACAAAGCAAAACAATTATAGAAAAAAGAAGCAAAGTTCATTGAATTATAGAAAACCAACCATGTATGTGTTTTATGTAGTGTAATACAAATAGCATAACCATTATTATCAATCACCGCCTGCCATTGTCTCGGCATAGATTGTAGATGTTTCTTGATATAAGATTCATCAATCTGTCTCCACTTTTGCTCTAAAGCGGCAAAAAGTTCATCCTTGTTTGAATAATTTTTATCTCGTATTTGCTTATCTAAGTATTCCTATAGATTTTCAATGGGTTTATATCGGAAGACTGTGAAGGCCATTTGAGAACTGGTATTTTTTCATCCAGAAAGACTTTCTTTGTGAGATTTGAAGTTTGCTTCGGGTCATTATCTTGCTGGAAGATTGATCTTAAAGGCATATTGTTTTCCATATAGGGCAACATGGCATGCTTTAGTATGTCTGTGTATACAAACATAACCATAATGTCATCTATTCTATGTAAAGGTCCCATCCCAAACCCCTGAAAAGCACCCCCAAACCATAACAGACCCGCCTCCATGTTTAACAGTGGGCAAGGTGTACTTGGGGTTCAATCTTTGTCCACTAGGACGTCTAACGTAATGAACACCATCTGATCCAAACATATTGAACTTGGATTCGTCACTGAAACATACCCTCTTCCAGTCACAGATGCTCCAATCAAGATGCAACCGTGCAAATTGTAATTGGTTTTTCCTCGAGATTAGCGGCTTCTTACTCGGGCGACGTGCAAATAACTTCATCATTTAATCTTCTACTTAGAAACACTGGCAATTTATTTTGTCTCGATTTCGGGTTTTATTTGTCTTGGGGTTTTAAACGGATCTTTGGACGAAATTACTTTTATTTATCTATCTGATCTAGCATTTAGTTTTCTAGGCCGACCACTTCTCTTAGAGGCTTCCAAGATACCTCTTTGTTTATATTTGTTCAATATCGCCCAAACTGCTTTACGCTTCAGCTTCAAATTTTTGGCAATGTCGACTTGACGTTGACGATCTTTGTATAACTCAATGATCTTAGTTTTTACATCGAAAGAAATTTCTGGACCACGCGGCATGGTCGTAAAATCACTCAATTTCAATCACAATACTTGATGAACACAAACTAATCCTAATTCCGACACGAAACTGTACTAAACTAATGTTGGAAATAATTTGTCTACATATTTTTGTCCCTCGTAAAAAAGTGCGTATATTGTATTGTGTTCATTGCAGATAATGTAAAAACAAGTAATTTAGTTTTTCTACTAATAACGCATTTGTTTATGGAGCAATGAAGTATGAATTCGTTTTCTAAAGGTATTTAGGTAAATACTCATATTTGTCTATATAATTTTGTCCATTACTGTATATGACTTGTAATTCAACAGTGTACAGTGAATATAATAATTTCTTATCTCTCTCATTTTTTAAATTTAGCAAATTTGTATATGTAATTTCCAGAATGGATAAGAAAAAGTGGATGCCCAACTAATTTCTAGCTTTGAATCTCAAGTAAGTGTATTTGAGACAAGAATCCAATGGAATTATCATCAACATACAAATCGTCAACATGCACCGATGCATTGCCGTTACCTCCAGTAATGCCATCTCTGAAGCAGATTCTACATCACATCAGAGCTAAACATTGATAATTAAAGCCTCATGGCGTTTAGGCAATACGTATAACTGCAAAACGAGTTCACAACATGTCCATCAGCTAGTGCTAAATTAACATCTCGTAGAAAAACCTACATGATGTCAAAAAAAAAACAGTATAATCTCAAAAAAATCGACATAATGTCACTTTTCAAGATACGTAATATCCGTGCCGGCCATCTGCGCCTGCCTCACCCCATTCTTCAGTTATAGTCAGCGACAAAAAAGGGCCCCGAATTAGGGCTGCTCCGAGGTCACAAAGAAGATAAAATTTGCTACTCCTCGCTCTTCATTTTTTAACAGCAACAAAGTAATAAATTGAGAATTTCACTTTACCCCATGGTGCCTTCAGCCATATGGGCCTGGGGGGCTATTCGGGCTTTTCCGTACTTTGTGGCGGTTGACTGGAATACACCAAAACGCGAGTTCTTACAGAATTCTATCTTGTAGGCTCAACAACGAGCGTGAACAGCAATTTGGCGACCTCTCTGCCCTCTAGCATGTCCTTCCCGTCATTGAGTACATCCAGTTTAGCTGGTCTGAATACCAACCTACTGACTGGTCTGTCAGCCGGTTTAGGGCAGTTCGATCCGAAGACTAATCCACTTCTGATGCCCTTCGCAGGACTGCCAAACATGGGTGCTCTTGGATCAATGGGCGGATTAGGTATGTGGTTTGTAGCTTTTTGTATTACTGTAGGTTAATTATCTATAACCTACAAATGTTCACATCTGTATGCTGGGTTGCCGAATGCTCAACTATTTGATGCAAGAGTCTAGTCATATCTGTCTTAAATTACTGTCATATCGTATATTTCCCGTGTTTAGATTGATTCACCAAAAGCATTATCCAAATCATTCAAAATTATTGGGTAGGGTTCATTTTTAGACTACGAAAATTATACCATGTTTCAGGTAATTACCAAATACAGATGTGGATGAAATTTGAGGATTTAGTTAACTACCATTATTTAATTTTCATACATAATGGGCACACTAGATCTTTGAACACAAAATTATAAGAGTTCCACCATACAACACAACATTATTCAAAATGAGTTTCTCGTATAACGCAGATACCAGGTATAATTCAATACCTGAAGTGTATCAGCAATATTGTTTGTCAATATTACGCAGGAAAATTAAACTGATTATGCATTCATGCACCTAATTTTATCATTTCTATATATTCAGGGTGGCCCAATGAAAAGGACGCTTGCCTATTTGTGACTGACCTGGTATATTTTGGCAAAACGCTCGGACACGTCAATTTTGATTTCTAGGGGGGCGTCTTTCCATCTATAGCTGTACAATACAGGATGATCCAAAAATAAGCTATTGCGTTAAACTTTAGATTTTTAAACTGAAACCCCCATTTTTTTAATTTTTAGATTTTCCATGAAGTTTTTAGTAAAGTTTGTACAATGAAGTTATTCTAGAAATTATGATAATAAGGGATTATATCGTAAAAATAATAATCAATATAGTTCCCATAGTAACATGACTGTACTTTAAAATTAAAAACAAGTCTCCAAGTATTAAAAAAAAAACAACTTACAGTTTACACGCATATTAAAGTTGAAGTAAAAATTAATTTGCTATAAAGGGGTAGGTCAATGTGGTAATAAGTGCTGAAAGTGGTGTCCTTTTTGCCTCCATGCAATAATAAAGATTTTGTTCGAATATATTCGTTACATTTTCAAGCATGTCTTCAGTTATTTGTCTACATTCAGCCGTAATCCGCTGACGAAGATCTTGAATGAAGCCTGGCTTCGTACTAAAGACTTTACTTTTCAAATGCCTCCAAAGAAAGTAATCTAAATGACTTAGGTCCGGAGATCTCGGCGGCCACTCGATGGGGCCTTGTCTGCCGATCCACTGATTCGGGAAATGGGTGTCCAAAAACTGTCGTGCGACGGTGCACCATATTGTTGGAAATGAATGTAATCTTCATTATAATTAACATATTCTCTATTAGTTCGGTAATTCGTGGCTCTATTGTATTTTCTAACATATGAAAGTACGTCTCGCCCGTCACCGGTGTGAAGTGAGCAGCCAGTTTCGAGTAGCCAATTCTTCCGAGCATTCGCGTGAAGTTAGCATCCAATCTTCAGCAGCCATTTTTTTGTACGAACTACAGTAGAACCTCGATTATCTGTGCGCGGATTATCCGGACTGCGGATTATCCGTGCCATGATTTCCCATTATTCAAATTGCATTTTTGAGGTGATTATTAACAAAGACGCGTACATCCAGAAAATGGAAATCGCACTAGGTGATAATAAATATTATAAATTGCTCAATAAAAGTCCTTTACCTGCATTGAAAAAGGGTATGAAAAGATTGGTCGAAAGTTGGAATGAAAAAGGTGCCTTCGAGGTTGATGACTGCTTTAAATATCTAAATATGTACCAGAATAGACAACACGTGCATCCATTACGTATAGTATCGGCGGTTAATAACCCTACGTATGCCTTTGACAAATCACTGTCTCGTTACCTAAGTAAACATCTTCCCATTCGATTTTCATTTGCCGCTTCGTGTTACACCGAATGTGTGAAATTTAGTTTACTTACGCGCTAGAGACGAGAATCGAGACAAGTTGCTACTCTGCTGTAATATATTCTTAACACGTGACTTTGTTTTCAAAATGGCAACGAGTGTTAAACGTAAGAGAAATGTTTTAACGATTGAACAGAAACTAGAAATTTTAAGAAAAAGTTAAAAGGGTGACAGTGTCGCATCATTATCACGAACCTATGATGTTGGCAAGCAAACAATACGCGATATCACTAAAAACCAAGTGAAACTACAAAATTTTATATCTCAGTCTGACTCTTTTAAGAACATATCTGCACGGAAATCATTGAAAGGATCGACTTTTCAACAACTCGATGAAGCACTTTCCAAGTGGTTTCTGCAGAAAAGATCGAAGGGCGTACCAATCTCTGGTCCAATGTGCGCTAAGCATGCGGAGATTTTTCACGAACGCTTGAAAATCCAAGAACCTTTCAAGCATCCAGTGGTTGGCTGCATCGATTTAAAAAACGTCACGGAATTCGAGAGCTTACCATTCAAGGCGAAAAGCTTAGTGCCGACGGAGAAGCGATGGTGGAATTTTGCTATGAACTGGAGACCATAATTAAAGAAAATAATCTACAACCTTCTCAAATTTATAACGCTGACGAAACAGGGTTATACTGGCGAGCAATACCTACAAAAACCTTGGCTGCAAGTAATGAGATGGGTGCACCGGGATATAAGAAAAGTAAAGATCGGTTAACAGTGTTGTGTTATGCCAATGCGTCTGGCACCCATAAACTAAAGCTGACTATGATTGGAAAGTCGAAAAATCCTAGCTATTTAAAAACATGAAACCGGATAATCTCCCAGTTCATTATTATAACCAGCAAGCTGCCTGGATAACTTGTGACATCTTTCAAGATTGGTTCCATAAAAAGTTTATTCCTGAAGTAAAGTCTATACTGAAGAAAGAAAAATTGCCACAATAGGCGCTTCTTCTTCTCGATAATGCTCGTTCTCATCCCAATGAGGCAGCTCTAAGGCCTGATAATGGAAACTTCTTTGTTCTTTTTTATCCACCCAATGTTACATCAATCATTCAACCAATGGATCAAGGTGTTATTGAGACAATGAAACGGCTCTACCGAAGAGAACTTATGATAAACTTGTTGGATGAAGTTGATCTGATGAAGTTTTGGAAATCGTTCACGATCAAAGACGCAATTTTTACGGTGGCAAACGCATGGAGTGGAGTGAAAGAAATGACTTTCAAAAGAGCTTTTTATAAAATAATGACGCTAGAGGAAGATGAAAGGATCATGGAGTCCGAAGACGAAGAAACTACTATAGCTGAACTAGCTGCATTAGTGCGCAACTCCGAACTCCACCCAATGTTACATCAATCATTCAACCAATGGATCAAGGTGTTATTGAGACAATGAAACGGCTCTACCGAAGAGAACTTATGATAAACTTGTTGGATGAAGTTGATCTGATGAAGTTTTGGAAATCGTTCACGATCAAAGACGCAATTTTTACAGTGGCAAACGCATGGAGTGGAGTGAAAGAAATGACTTTCAAAAGAGCTTTTTATAAAATAATGACGCTAGAGGAAGATGAAAGGATCATGGAGTCCGAAGACGAAGAAACTACTATAGCTGAACTAGCTGCATTAGTGCGCAACTCCGATGAATTTAAAGACATTGATGACACCGAGGTTGAGAGGTGGACACAGTGTGACAAACAGGTTATCAGATCCTCAGCAACGATGATATTGTCGAACAAGTTTTGAATCAGTCCGGAACGTGACAATCTGATTCATCCGAAAATGAGAGTCAAGAAAAAGAGAATGATGGAACGGTATCAATCAAAAGAGTAACTAACCAGGAGGCTAAGGAAGCTGCCAACATTCTACTAGACTATTTGGAGCAACAAGAATCTTCGGACCTTGTAGACATTTTGAACTTTCGCAAAATACGTCACATGATTAAAAATAATCGAAGACTTTTGACACAGACCAAAGTGACTAACTTTTATTCTAAAACATAATTATGTACTTAAAATAAATACACTTCGCTTTAGGTAAATGCAAGGTAACCTACCTATTGATTTTTTTATTTTTATTATTTATGTATTTAGTGTAAAAGAATATTTATGTAGAAATCTGTTTTTTTTGTGTTTATACAATATAAAAGTTAGTTTAAACTTATGGGATTTTTTGTTTCTGGTATCTTTTTATGGTAGGTATATATGAAATAAATGTTCGGATTATCCGTGCTACCTTCGGTCCCGTGGAGCGCGGATAATCGGTTCTACTGTACTGACTTTTCAATGATTGCATCATATTTCTAGCTGATTTTAGCAACAGACCGCCTCAAAAAGGGTAGTTTCACCCTTAGTGAAAAAATATTTAGAAAGAAGTATGCAGCTTTTCAAAAAAGCTAACACCATTGATGAATAATAAAAATTAATAAAGCTCATCATTTATATCTGGGCGTAGAAGTCAGATTATTGATTTTTTTCTATCTGACGTAGGGGTAGTTTACATCCTCAGAACATAGGTAGCTTTTTATATCTCCTACCTAGTTAGAAACAAAGTTACTAGCTAATAATAAATGAATAGTGTTTTACTTGTAGCTATTGGGTCATTTCTTCGGACCCGACAAAGGGGTGGACTTCACCACTTGAACATGAAAAATGTGTTCTTTGCATTTTTTACCTAGTCAGAAATAAAGTTACAGAATCAAAAATGTTCCTTTCATTAGTAGCTATAAGGCCACACAGATCCCATCTTTGGAGCTGTCGAAGGCGTTGATTTCACCCCTTGAACGTCAGAAATGCGTGTTTTGCATTTTTCACCTAGCCAGCAAAAAAGTTACAGGCTAAAAATGAATCAAAAGTGTTCCTTCCATTACTAGCTATAAGGTCACATAGATCTTCTTCAGAGCCGTCGAAGCGGTTGATTTTAGCACTTGAACGTCATAAATGCGTTTTTTGCTTTTCTCACCTAGCCAGCAAAAAAGTTACAAGCTAAAAAAGAAACAAAAGTGTTCCTTTCATTAGTAGATATAAGGCCCCTTATTCGGAGCCGTAGAAGGGGTTGATTTCACCTTTTGAACGTCAGAAATGCGTTTTTTGCATTTCACACCCAGCCAGCAAAAAAGTTACAGGCTGTAAGTGAATCAAGCGCGTTCTTTTCATTAGTAGCTATTAGGCCACATAGATCCTATTTTCTTCGAAGCCGTCGAAGGGGCTAATTTCACCCCTTGGACGTCAGAAATGAGTTTTTTTACATTTCCCACCTAGCCAGAGGCTGCGAAGAACATGGGATCTATGTGGCCTTATAGCTACTAATCGAAGGAACATTTCTGATTCATTTTTAGCCTGTAACTTTTTTCTGGCTTTTTTGCCCTGCATTCCGTTATTATCAGTATTAAGTTAGTCAAATTTTATCATAGAATCAAATAGCTTCACAACAATTAAAGATGGGTGTAAACTTTATTATACAAAAGTTACTAACAACTTCATGGAAAATATAAAAATTAAAAAAGTGAGGGTTTCCATTTAAAATCTAAAGTTTAACGCAATATCTTATTTTTGGATCACCCTGTATTGTATGGCTATAGATGATGCAGCGTTTTTCCGAAAATATACCAAGGAAGTCACAAATGGGGGTGCGACCTTTTCGCTGGGCTGCCCTGTATATGATGCATTATAATTTCTGATGTTTTTCTTTTGTATTTAATGTTTTTTTTTTCGTTATGACATAAATTTCTGTATTGTGTTAGCAATCGCTAACCGACTGGTCAAGTGTAGGAGTAGCGAATGCAAAACTTCGCCAATCAATTAGTTTGTTTCTAAATAAAGACGGCAATTATTATTATTTTACCTAAGATCTCTTTTCGGTGCATTCATAACGGATCACCCTGTACAGGCTTTATTGTGGATATGCATGTTTTCGACCCTAGCCTAGGTCACATGTCTACAACACAAAGCCAAGTACGTCGTTCACAATACACACTAGAACTCAAGCAGAAATGTTATATGCTAAAATACGTTTGGTTATTACAGGCAACCTGACAAACATGAATCTATTCGCGAACCTGGCCGGTCTAGGCCTGCCCGGTCTAGGTGGCATGGACCCCGCGGCGTTGGCCAGTGCTGCCGCAGCGGCGGAGTCTGCAGCAGTTGTGGCGGCCGCTGCCGGAAAGGGATCCTCGAAGAGCAGCGGCCAAGGTGGGCAAGGAAAACAGCTCAAACCGCAAGAAGCGCACGCGTCCAGTAAGTCTGGTGCTGGCGGTGGGCAGCAGGCACAGGCGACAGCTTCCGGGTTGGGCGGTGCCGCCAATCCCGCCTTCCCGTTCTTCTTTCCCAATCCCAGCTTGCTATACACTCCACTTGGATTAGGTAAGTTGGCATAAAGCACCTTACTGGCGTAAATATCAACCTTAACGTTATTTTGTGTGTAGGTTTAAGATTTATTTAGCATGATTACTACAATTACATTCTTTTAAAAAACTACAACAATTACATAACATACACAAAACTAAATTTGCATCTCTAAGAATTTTCACTGTCCATGAAATATTCCTTTAATTTTCTTTTAAACATGTGTAGGTTGGCTCTTGTTGGTGACTTCTTCTTAGATTATTTGGGCTTGGAGTACCATAGCAAGTGTCTGTAACCAGCCGCGTGGTTGTGGTTAGATGTCGCCTTGAAAATTCGAGGTCTTCTAGCCATTTTATACTAAAATGTGTAGGTGTTTTTCCTCCTCCATCTTCGTTTTCTCAGATTACACCTGTTTCCGGATGTATGTGCATGTGTATCTTATCGTGTGTCTTATCGCTCGGGTTACCTATCCTATTTTCTGCTTATAGGTATATACCTAAATATTTAATTGATTCAAAATTTTCAATTATTTCACCATTTATCCTGAATTGCGATAGTATTTTCATTTATGTATTTCCCTATTAGCATACATTTTGTTTTAGAATCTTTCAATTTTAGTTTATTTACATTTAACCAATTTATGATTTTTGCCAACTCAGATGTGTATATTAATGTATCATCTGCAAATACATATCTGAATTTTTCTCACGTAGAGGCTACCGTTCATGCAAAATTGGACGAATTTTGCAATGTGAATGCGCTACATATATGAAACCCCTCGATATAGGTTCAATTTTTAAGTCGAAAATCATTATTACGACATCTGCTCCAGCCAATATTTAGGACTCTTCTCATCAATGAATGATAGGAGAATAGCAAAGGTATTCTTCTTTATTGGATATTTATAAACGATTTTGAAGTTAACGGCGTCATTAATTCCGTCAAATCAGGATTTAGGTTGATAATTTTACTTTGAGTATCTCAGCGTCACTATTGTACTCTAGTTTAGAGACACCTGAGACCTTTATTTGTGGACGCAATTTTTTTGGAAGAGCAACATACAAACTTCGATTCAATAGAACCCTTTACTTTTTGCAGAGAGTGCTGGTTATCACGTTTCTGTACAATGTCTCCTTTTTTTGTAACCTATTTTTATTTTATACATAAATGATTTACCTGCCATAGTAAAAAAATGCAAAATTCAGATTTTCGCCGATGACACTATGATTTATATAAGTAGTAAAAATATTTAGTCTGGTATCTCTTATATAAATGAAGACTTGAAACTTGTCTCAAAATGGTTAGCATCTAACAGACTAAAATTAAATACAAGTAAAACGAAAGCCTTGTTAATCGGAAAAAAACAATGTACAAATGTTCAACTGAATATTGATGGTGAAGATATTGAATTCGTAGAAAATTTTAAATACCTGGGGGTGGTTTAAGTTGACTCTCGATTAATTTTTGATACTTATTATGAAAAAGTTATAAATAAGATTAGTAGTAAAGTGGGATATTTATCGAGTTTCTGGATGTCTGAGTTCATATAGCAGAAAAATTATCTATAATACCATCATTCTTCCAAATTTCTTGTACTGTTCGACTATTCTATATTTAGCAAATAATTTCATTTTTGAAAGACTGCAAATTTTACAAAATGAATGCATGAGAATAATACTGAATAGAAAGATTTATTTAGCACATTTGGCTACATAAACCTAATAATTGTAAACAACTTAGAATTAGTAAATTCAAGCCATATGATGTATGATGTAAATGCTGGGCAACCTATAATTGTAGATTTAACAAGTGATTTCAATTTTCCTTTAGATTTTGTCAAAGTTTTCTGGTCTTTTATCTCTGAGTATAATTTATTATATTCAATCAACCCTTGATGGAATACAGATTTGTTTGTAGCATATGTTATATTTTTTGGTCATTAAATGGAAGTCATCTTCATTTTCTGGTATTATGTAAATGATGATCGATATTTGATGATGTTAAATTAGTTAGACTTGATTTGATGGAAATATATTATTTTTTACTTTATAAATGAATATCATTACAAGATATTTGATAATTTTTTTTACATTGAGCCATTTTAATTTGCTAAGCATTTGCCTAATTGGAGTATATTTATCTTTATTCACTATTATTCTCATGCACTTATTTTGTAAAATTTGCAGTCTTTCAAAAATGGAATTATTTGCTAAATGTAGAATAGTCGAACAGTACAAGAAATTTGGAAGAATGATGAATAGATAATATTTCTGCTATATGAACTCAGACATCCAGAAAATCTCGATAAATATCCCACTTTACTACTAATCTTATTTATAACTTTTTCATAATGAATATCAAAAATTAATCGAGAGTCAACAAAAAACCCCAGGTATTTAAAATTTTCTACGAATTCAATATCTTCACCATCAATATTCAGTTGAACATTTGTACATTGTTTTTTTTTTAGATTAAGAAGGCTTTCGTTTTACTTGTATTTAATTTTAGTCTGTTAGATGCTAACCATTTTGAGACAAGTTTCAAGACTTCATTTATATAAGAGATACCAGTCTGAATATTTTTAGTACTTATATAGATCATGGTGTCATCGGCGAAAATCTGAATTTTGCATTTTTTGACTATGGCAGGTAAATCATTTATGTATAAAATAATACTTCCTGATATACCATAAGCCTTCAATTTACCTAACAAAATATCCCTATCAATCGTTTCAAATGCCCTCTTCAAATCCAAAAATACTGCTATGACAACTTCTTCTGAGTCTATGGCTCTTCTCCAATTCTCAGTTACCAACTGGAAAGCCGTTTCTGTGTAATATTTTTTTCGAAAGCCTGCTTGCGCCTTCACTGAAATTTTGTTTTCTCCTACCTATCCTACAAATGTTACTGTTCCTTTGTTCTTCCAAGCTTTTTGATGTCAGCGATCAAGTGAAACAAACTGGATTGGTAATGTATCCCGAATCGCTTTCTAGTTGCACCACGGCCCCTCGTGGGCACACAGTACGACCCTGCGAGCACGGAAACCTGTATACAATTTTTCGGATGCGCTCATTCGCAACAGCAAGTAAGTTTAGTGAACAATAACTTGAGGGGTAGAAAAATCGCATATCTCTCAAGCTGTTATTTACTAAACATACTCGGTGTTGCGGATGCGCCCATCCGAAAAATAGTATCATGTTACTGCACTCGCATGGTGGTATGCGCTTACGAGGCGCCGTGATGCAACTATAAAGTGATTGGGGATACCTTAGCAATCCAGTTTGTTTCACTTGATCGCCAACATCCAGAAGCTTGGAAGAATAAAGGAACAGTGACATTGGTAATATTGAACTTGCCTCAACAATCGATCTCCTGAATGTGGGTTTTCCTATCTCTCAAGTTGTTGTTTACTAAACATATTCGCTGTTGCGGGTGCGCTCATTCGAAAAATCGTATATAGGTTATCTAATATTATTGGCCCGGATACTAAAGTATCAATTTTCTTTTGGATTGGAATTATATTTGATCTATTTTAACAGGTGGCCTAAACCCGTTCACCCTGCAGCCCGGCATGTCAGCAGCTTACGATTCCCTGGCTCAGCAGTGCGGATTACTGAATGGAGGCCTGAATCCTGCTGCTTCACCTAACTCCTCGTCGTCAAGCAGCAAAATGAGCAAACCGTCGTCGTCTTCTAGACCACCGTCTGCTTCTGCTACTACTCCTACCACTTCCAGTAGCCCGGTAATTTTTTATATAACTCAATATCATTCTATGGTAATCTGGTTTGTGTTTCAGTTCCACGCGGTATATAACATATCTGTGCCTTGAGAACGAACAGGAGTTAACTCCATTTAAAGATGGAAATATCAAATTTTTCCTTAGTGTCATTCTATAGATGATACAGGAAAAGACGAGTGCTATTAGATTGTGTTATTTCCCAAAACAACGTTCTAGGTAAAAGAAATCAGTTTACGAGGGACCAACGATATTTTAAGAGGAAATTTCTGAGTTAGTCATTAATAAAATTGTATAGCATTAGTGTCCAAAAGATTTCAACACAATACTGAGTCGCTAAGAAAGAAAGATATAATATTTGTAAAATTTTCAGGACTAGGTAGTTTCGAGCTCAATACCGCAAAGTTGGGATTTTCCTTTTCAGAAACAACTACCCTTGAAATAACAAAGGTAATGTGTAGTGAAACGAGGGCGACCAAGTAAAAAAATAAAGGAAAAAGTTCTCACTCTCCAGTTGACGAGAAGGGCTAAGTACGTCTCTGCCCGAAATCATACCGCTCCAACAGAAAATGAAATCAGCTCAGGCGCTACCGAGCAGACGCTGGCGGTGGTGCAGACCAAACAAATAAGACGGCGTTGCCGCGTTTTCAGTTTTTAGGTAAACGTACTTTATAGGTATTGTTCGAAGTTATCGCCGTTTGAGAATGGAGTCCCTCCCCCGAACGAAAGCACCAGCTTGTTCAATTCTGAGACGAAGTTCGTCAACCGTATGCACTTCAGTTTTGTACACTAAGCGTTTCATTTCTCCCCAAAGAAAAAAATCACATGGTGTTAAGTCTGGAAATCGCGGAGGCCACGCTACGGGTCCATTACGACCGATCCACCTATTCGAAAATAATTCATCCAAAAACTCACGCATTTCGCATCTAAAACGGGGTGGTGCACCATCGTGCAGAAACCACATTGATTGTCTTACACTTAATGGCACATCTTCTAACAAGGAAGGCAAAATATTGCGTAAAAATTCTAGGTTTTGCATCCCGTCCAATCGATTTGGGAGAATAAATGGCATACCATTCACCATGCTAGCCCAAACATTCACCGAAAATGTTTGTTGAAAATGTGCCCGACGGACAGCGTGCGGATTTTCTACTGACCAAACATGAGTGTTGCGAAAGTTATTCACCCTATTCCGCGTGAACGTAGATTCGTCTGTCACCAATATGCACTTCAAAAAGTCCGGATTATTGTCATGTTGATGCAACAACCACTCACAAAACCGCACTCTTGCTGGAAAATCGTCAGGTTGAAGGGCTTGTACACGTTGAACGTGAAACGGATACAGCCCCTCTTCACGCACTTTAGTTTTTGATACTTGCACTTCTCTAGCCACGTCTCTAGTGCTTGTTCAGGGATTCTCGTCTACGCGATTCAGTAGTTCTTCCTCAACTTGCACCATTCGTGGTTGTCTAGGCCTCCCACTGTGCCCACCTCGAAATTCCTCCAAATCTGCGGGGCCTTGGATGATGTCGTCTAGGGAAACGATCTGCATACACTCGCGACGATTCTGTAGCATTTTGAAGACAATTCGCCATAAATTAACAACATATCAACGAGTTCATTATTGGTGTATGAGTGTGCCAGTATTATTTTTTTTTTTTGAAACGCAATCGATTATACGGGTTCGTTACCTCTATACGCATGACCGTAACCGTCGGTTGAAGGTTGCATACTGACCTGATGACACACTGACCCCGACCGAGTTCTGACGTCGGGTTGAGCTAGTGTCCTAGTACCAGTCTGGGATATCGCGGCGGGTCGCGGCTACAGGACGGTATTCAGATATTTTTGATGTTGCAGAGCCCTTTATCTCGGTTCCCTTAAGACATTGGTGTATATGGTACTAATAAAAATTGCTTATGTTTTCAAGATCTACACGTCGTGTAAAGGAAAACCCCAACTTTGCGGACACCCTGTATATCAATAAATTATGAAATTGGCAAAAGAAAATTGCCTAGGAATCGGTACTCTTATCATTAATACAGAGAAATTCAAATTACTGGTTAGTGATCAAAATAGTAAAAAAAATTTACGTGATTTTGTAACGTTACACATTTTATACCGGAAACAGGCCTTATTGACAGTTTACCGTTGTAATATTGTAGTTGATTCATTAAGCATTTTGTTATTCCAGCAGATGAAACCTCCAAGCAGATCGTCAAGTAGGGACGCACATCTGCAGCAATTGCTGCTCCCTCCTGATACCCAGATCCTGGAGAGCATTTCAAAAGCGGCCAGTTCTTTGGACATCACATTGAAGCAGGCGAAGGCGGGCGGTGGAAGCGGCGACAAGAAAGATGAAAAACGCAAGCAGCAACAACAGCAGGCGGCAGCTGCGGCGGCGGCAGCGGCTGCAGCATTTGACAGTTTCCGCGGCATGCTGCCCTCTGACTTTACCGTCCAAAAGAAGTCGGGACTGCCACCAGGGCTGGCCGATTTCACCAAATTGCTAGAGGCTCAGGTCAGTTGTTTGGTGAGATTATACAGGGTGGTCCGTGATGAATACACGAAAAAGCAATCCCAGGCTGAATTCATGAGAATAATGATATTGAGCCAAATATGCCTTAGTTAAATGTTGATCGTTCATGAGGTAGAAGTTGTTCAAACTTCATTTTGAAAATACATACCACCTTCATTTTCTGCCCTCCAAATATACCGAATTGCAACGTCGCATTAGCGCCTAAGGTGTAATAAGCATTTAGGTAGTGGCGAAATGATATGGACTATAGAAGAGTAGCGTCACTCCGTCGTTAAAACAGTTTTTGGTGAGGTGTCTGAAATTATATTGTGGTATCCAACTTTTGTATAATGAAGCTTATACCTATCTTCAATCGTTGTGAAGCTATTTGAGTTTATAATACAATTCGACTGACTCAATACTGATAATAATGGAATGCACGGCAAAAAATAATAAACATGAATACCAACAAGAACATTTAGCATCAGTCACTGTCAACGTATGTCATAGAAAAACTTGTCTTTCATTTCAAATTGTTAAAATACCTACCAATGTGATAAATATTGAATAGTGACTTATTCAACTCGAGAAATGGTAGAAATAACAAAACTGTATTTCCAAAATGGTAGCATTGCAAGAGCTACTGCCCGCTTGTTTAATGCGTTGCGTTACATCCACACAAAAATATTAACAATACGTATGTGACTAAGTTGACAAGAAAATTTGAAAAAATTGTATCTATGTCTAATATTCGCCTTAATCGCCATCGAGAAAATCGACCAGTTAGAAATTAAGCCACAGAAATAGCAGTTTTGGGACACGTAGCACTTTTCAACAGCCAAAGCACGCGTGAACTGGGTACTTCTTCAGGATTTACACGCTCAATATTACAAAGAATTTTGAAAGACAATAAATTTCACACCTACGGGATAAAACTTGTCCATGAGCTTAATGAAGACGATTTTGATAGAAGGTTTGAGTTTTGCGAATTAATGTCCCAACCTTTAATCAATAATGCAAATCTGTGGTTTAATATTTGTTTCTCGGATGAGTGTACGTTCTATTTACACGGTGCTGATAATAGACATAATAAAATACGTCGATATTGGTGTGACTCGAATCCTCATTTGTTTCGAGAGGTACACTCGCAATATGCTCAAAAAATAAATGTGTATGGACCGGCATTTTCGGAAATCATTTTGCAGGACCATTCATTATTCCTGGAAACTTAACGGGTTAGAAAATACAATAGTCACGAATTACTGAAATAATAGAAAATGACGTTAATTACTATGAAAATTTCATTCATTTCCAATAAGATGTTGCACCGCCGCACTATGTGGCTTCAGTACGTCCGTTTTTGGGACCCATTTCCCGAATCAGTTGATCGGCAGACGAGGCCCCGTCCAGTGGCCGCCGAGATCTCCGAAGCCAAGTCCATTAGATTACTTTCTTTGGGGACATATGATAAGTAAAGTTTTTAGTACGAAGCCAGATTCCATTCAAGATCTTCGTCAGCGGATTACGGCTGAATGTAGACAAATAACTAAAGGCATGCTTGAAAATGAGAGGAATAGATTCGAACAAAATCTTTATTATTGCATGGAGATAAATGAACACCAGTTTCAGCACTTATTACCACATTGATCTAATTTTTACTTTAACTTTGATTTGCGTGTAAATTAATAATAATAATGATAATAATAACAGGACTTTATTCACACAGTACAGAGTAGCACTGGTAAAAAGGCAAAGTATCAGCATTTTTCAACTTAACCCAGGTAAAAAACATCAATATTAAACACTTGCACAAGTACACACCATAACCTACAAGAAAAAACAATACAAAAAAATATATAAATGATAGTAATCTGACGATATTTCATAAATTTGAATGAAGATTGTTTCACGAAAAAAAAAAGTAAATAAACATTACAAAGCATGATAAACTATGTCACAAACCTGATTCATATCCAGGAACTAAGTAACTACGACATCAACTAATTGTTCAGCAAGTACTTCAATCTTTTTTTGAAGTTGATAAGTGACAGGTCTTTAAGATCATCTTGCTATGAGTTGTACAGTTTAACGGCACTAAAGGAAAAGCATCTGGCAAAGATTACCGTGATGTGACGAGGAATAAGTAGGGTATGCCTACATCCCTGTTGACTGCGATTCGAATTGTAAGTTGTTTTTTGTTTTTTTAATACTCGGAGACTTGTTTTTAATTTTAATTCTTGTTACTATAGGTACTATATTGATCATTATTTTTACGATATAATCCCTTATTATCACAATTTCTTGAATTTAACTATGAACTCAAATAGCTTCACAACGATTGAAGATATGTAGGTATAAACTTCATTATACAAAAGTTACTAAATACTTCATAGAAAATCTAAAAATTGAAACAATGGTGGCTTCCATTTAAAAATCTAAAGTGTAACGCAATATCTTACTTTTGGATCCCGCTACATTGTACGGCTATAGATGAAAAGACTAGAAATCAAAATTGACGTGTCCGAGCATTTTTCCAAAATATACCAGGAGAGTCACAAATAGGGGTGCGACCAAAGATTCAATGTACCTAAGTGAACCTACCTAATGACAATTGCCCTTGAAAACTATTTGACTCATCACTGTGAAACTGCTAATGAAGGCGTAGGAAGTATAGTCATTCTACTTGACGCCGATTTTGTCTAAGGGGGGTTAATTTGTGCCGAACAATCTCTTGTGAACTGATGATAGCCGTGCGTGCAAAGTTCATATATGACGTCATTTTTCAAAGCAAATTGGCAAAGGCAATTTTTTGACATTTACCTGTTTATCACTAGGTGCAGGTGACACAAGCAACAAAAAAGACGCACGAACAGCAAATGAAAGAAGCATTGGAACAGTTCACTAAAAGCAATCAGGAACTGGTAGCTAAATCTTTGGCAGATGAATACACAAAACCAAGCACAGCAGTGAAAAGGCCACGAGAGGCATCAATAGAAATGTTACATACTGAAAAATCCTTGATGGTGAGTAAAATGTCCATATTGCGTATGTCAAATAGTAGCAAAGTCACAAAAAATACTTCAGTATGTGTTCAGTCACAGCAATTTATTAGATTGTATACTAGGCCAAATAGGGAAGATGGGGTATTTTTTTCAATTTTATAGGATTTCATGTACATGAAAAAAATAAAACAATACCGTTTCAGGCTATCATTTGAAAGCTACTATAGAAAATACACTTGCAGTGGTGACGTTACTCTTGTTTATTTGTCATCACCAAATTCATCATTCACATTGGACAGCTGTTGTAGGGACTTTAGTATACGTGATTAGATTACTGTCAAGAAGCTTTCGAAACACTCTTATAGTCCATGATTTATCCATATTAGAATGGAATATTCCTAGACAGGACATCATTTTTTGTTAAAATGTTCCCTAAAAGTTGTTACAAAAGATAATATCGACATAGCCTTGTTCAGAATCCTCTACTTAGGCTAGAAATAAAATAAATGGACAATTGTTCTCAATGCCATCGACGCTTGACTACTGAACCTTTCAATGGATAGCCCAACATATATCACAGCTATCATAATAGCTGACCAGGAAATCAAATTTCTTGTTATGAATAGAGAGTTGACACTGTTTTTGATTCATGGACTAAGGCCAATAGTCTAATGGACGCGCTTTCGTTCGAATCATATTCCATACTCGTCAGAAAGAAATCGTATGGAGATTCCCGAATAATCCTATAACATTATAAATTTCATCATACAAATTATTTGACCCCCCCCCCCTGTTTTGATCAATAAATAATGTTGCAGGTGATTTTTACAAGATGTCATCATCTTATATTATACCAATTATACCATAAGAATCTGCGTACCACCCAACAGTTTTGATCAATCGGTCTGGGCGCCATACCCTTTTTCGCAGATATTTTATAACGAATCTCTGCTCAACATGATCCATTTCTATTAGAATTCTGGTTACTGATGAACCAAAAACCACGTAACCTCAAAAAAGTTTTACATATAAACTTAATATTTTGTTGTTGTAGCACACTAATAATGTCTATTTTCTGAAATACAATAATTTATAAAAAAAAATCATCATAGCTTTGTATTTCCGTAGGAAATATTTCACATAGTGAAATGATATTTTGTTTAACTTGAACTATTAATATGGCACATTCACATATTGTGTCCTAGTGGGCAAATCAAATGCATTTTTCTCCGATTTCTGACATAGCTCGGACTAAAATGCACTCATTAGTCCTAAAGTACTTTCCGTTTCGAGTAATGTTTATAGTATTTTTCACATCATTTGTTTGTTGAACATTTATCTAGCATTAATGCTACAATGTAAATATTCTTGTGCACATTTTTTGAATCAAACCGTATTTATTATCTGTTAATCTCAATATACGTCAAAACGTAATTAATAAGTGTCGTGAAACATTCTATAGCACCTATACATTAATTACGAAGGAGATATCTAGATATGCTTCTCCATTTCTGAGTGTTTTCTTGCAATCCACTTCTCCATTTTCCTCCTGACTCTGTGCGGGCACCCCTCAGACTGGCTCAGGACCAACATGCTTGCGCGCTTATCCTGCTTTTGCAAGAGTGTCCGCCATATCATTGCCCTTTATCCCAGCGTGCCCCAGTACCCACACCGATACCAGATGCTAGACTATCCAGAGCCTTTCTGCATTGCATCACAAAGCTCGAAGTAATCTAGCATCAACTTTGTGCCTTCATCGCAGCCTGGCTGTCGGAAAAAAATATTATTCTTCTCCTAAGCCCTTCTTCCTCTAAAATGCGGGATACGCAAGCCAGAATCGCATAGATTTTCGCCTGGAAAATATTGGTGTATCCATCGAAGTGCCTAGTTCTAGGCCCAAATACTCCGGCGTCAGAGCCCTCTTCAGTGACCGTACCGTCCATCTACCAGACCTGCCCACTCCATTCCGACACCTTCCGGATTCCAGAATCCCACTCCTCTCTCGTTATATACTCCACATTAAACGTGCGGTTGAACCGATATTTAGGCGTGATCAGATCAACCCTGCTCAGAAGGACATGATCATCCCTTTGCAGTTCGACTAAGATAGCAGTGTGACCCTTGACAGGATTCAAAAAGGCCCTGACTGCACAGTCGATGTGCTACTACTCTTGCCTCTCCGCGGAGCAATAGATCCAACGGTGGGAGATCCACTGCGCTCAATGGCGTTGTCCGCACTACGCTTTCAATACTGGTACAAGCCAAACGCTGAATTTTATTGAGTTTGGTCTAAGTTGCCTCGGTTCCAATACAAGGCCACCAAACCAGGGAGCCATACAAAAGAGATGGACGTATTATCGTCCTATAGAGCCAAAGTACCACTTTGGGTTTAAGCCCCCACCTCGCTCCGATAACTCGTCTGTAAGCCCACAAAGAATTGCGTGCCTTGTTAACCTTGTACTCAACATGCTCTCTCCAATTCAGTTTACAGTTCAAGAAATTTCCTAGATATTTTACTGATTGGGATAGAACTAGTCTAGTCCCAAAGAAGGTCGGCAAGATAAGCCCGTCAAGCTTCCTTCTCCTACTGGATAGAATTAGCTGGGTCTTTCCCGCGTTGACAGGTACATCGACCTCCCTACACCACGATTACACAGCGCGCAGTGAGCCCTGTATAATCTCAGAGATCGTTCTACAAAAAGTGGTTAGGGGAACCACTGTGCTTGAATCGTCTGCATAGGCTTGCACATAAACACCCGCACTGCCGAGCCTAACTAGGGGATCGTTCACCACGAGGCACCACAATAGGGGTGACAGAACTCCGCCTCGCGGACGGCCCCTAGCTACACTGACGCTGCTGCATACGACCTCCAGCATAACCGTTGCTACACGACTCTCTAGAGTGGACAGGACCCAATAAACCAGGATTGATCTAACCCCGAGCCTAACCAAGGCATGTCTGTTGGAGTCGGTTGTAGTGAAATTAAATGCAACCCGTCGAAGATGGCAGTTTACTCTGCCATCCACCAGTCCTCCCCCGAGGGCCTGCGCAACGGCATGCACTCTGTAATCGATTGCGCTTCTGTGGAACCGGGAAAGTGTGGATGTATCAGAAGCCTCAAAGTTCCTTCTTCGGAAGTAGTATGACCTCCCAAGGAATCAGACAAAGACCCAACCTTGCTTTGGTATCATTGCACAAGATTCTGCGTATTCCAGCTGTAGCAGGAATGTCGTTAATGGACTAACAGAAGTTCCTTCCAGGATTCTCTGGAGGCCGTTCTAATCTCGTTTTTATATTCGTGCAATGCCTTCTTGTACTATTCGCACTGGGGAGAGGCTCTCCTGTGCCTAACCCTACTAAAAAGTTTGTACACAGCCATTACCACCGAGGGAACAAGGCCTGACAACAAACGCATAACGTCACCACGAGTAGGTCGGCCGACACGAGTATTATGTAAAAAACCTATAAAACAACAAAAAAAAACAATAAAATGTCATCTTGGAAACTAGGTAGTTTTTAGGATGCAAATAGTTCATTCCACATTTGCTCGCTATGATCGTTGTGAGCGTCCATCTATGGAGGAATGACTCATCTACACGCATTGTTGGTTGCAGAGAGCAAGTATATGTTTTGTGAAGTCGAGTAGTCTGTAGTGAGAACATGTGAAAGAAAGTTGGTTGAATAGCAAGATCGCATTTGTATGATTATGTGTATTGGTCTGCATTTGTATAAAATCAGTGATATTTGCTATGTTATAGGATTATTACTGAATATGCTGCCAATGAAGTATATCTATTAGCTGTGCCTGACGGGTTATTTATATGTCGTTCTTTCTTAAGACAGGTTATGCTAAGTTATAAATTACGATTTTTCCAGTTTTTTGTGTTTTTAAAAAAATTTGAGGGGCAGTACGGGAAATCGCCTCCGTGCCCGCATTGTATTCAATTAATCCACATCACAGAAAAATTAGAAATGATGCATCACACATCAAACATTTTCGCAATGCCTCACATCTAGGCGCTGATTTGTATTTTCTGTTGACATCGCAAAATAAATTTCTATAAAATTTAAATGACTAGAAATAAAAAATAATGTAATAACCTTTTCATTTCCATACATATTCCTGTCTATATCATATTTTCCCACCTGTTCCTTTACCAACCAGGGACTTTCTTTTCTTATTTCTCTCATTTTTAAATTCAGCAAATTTGCATATGTAATTACCAGAATAAATAAGAAAAAGTGGATGCGAAACTAATTTCTAGCTTTGAATCTCAAATAAGTGTATTTGAGACAAGAAACCAATGGAATTAATCATCAACACATATTATTAGCACACAAATCCTCACTATGCACCTATTTACTGTCGTTTCCTTCCAGCTATAGTATACAACTTAGAGCTTAGACCTCCAATAATGTCATATCTGAAGCAGATTTTACATCACATCAGAGCCAAACTTTGATAACTGAAACATGACGTTTAGGCAACACGTACAACTACAAAACTAATTCACAGCAAGTGCCCATCAGCTAGTGCTAGGTTAACATCTTGTAGAAAAACCTACATAATGTCACAAAAAACCAATATAATCTCAAAAAAAATTGACATAATGACACTTTTCAAGATACATAATACCCGTGCCGGCCGGCAGCACGGCGCGCCGTACTTCAGCGCTAGTGAATAATATATGATTATTTGGTGGAAAATGTTAAAGCAGTTACTAACTATTATCACTCTGATTTTCACTGATATTTCATTCAACATTACGAGTACATTTGAGTAATAAGTTGATCCCATAAAAGCTTACAATATTTTGCTAAACATAATAAATTATTCAATGACTTACATAACCCAATGTTTGTCACAATCGATCAACAAAATTTTAAAGGAATATGTGGACTACAATCTAAATAAATGTGGGCTGATTGTATACAACATAGTTCAAAACACTTGGGCAAATAATTGCGGGACACAAATATGTATAAGTTTAAAACAACAATTTAAAGTTTACAAAGCAAAAGAACATATTAATACGTGATAACAGCTCAGAATTTGAGGTTAGCTGGCTGCTAACCACCTGTTGCATGTTACCATATTTCGTTTTGCATGAAAAGTTAGACTTCATACGTGACAGATTGAACGTAATATCGAAACTGTATTTTTGACATACTGAGGCAGATCAGAAAGAACAATCACCTCATGATTGAAGCTGCGCAGATCCCGATTGTGTCCTGCAAATTTCCCCACAGAGAGCTTTAACTAATTAGTAAAGATTTCGGTATGCTATATCATATCTAGATATGTCAGCACCGCTCTTACCAGCCAGCATGCCGAAACACCTAGCGTGACGTCACAACCTTATCGCAGCTCACTTGTTAGGCCTTCTTATCTCGGTGGTAATTTCACAGCTCGTTTCCTATTCTCTAGCTCCTTAGACCAGAAGGTTACTTCGCCCTTACCATGAACTTTGCATAACGGGCAGTTTTCCTTATACGATGCTCTCAAGTCCCTGCTCAGAGGCTCCACAGCTGCTTCTATATCAGAGCCCAACATAGGCTGTTTTGAAACACTCCTAGCTTACTATCATGATCTGCCCTATAGGACGCCCAATTAGTATGCCCGAGCGTATTTATCTGGAATCTCCCCGTCAGTATTGAAGAACTTATACCTGTGATCCGATGGAAAGGGTGTTTAACGAGACTTTCCAGTCCCTAACCTCCTGAGCTAACTTAAGCGTGCTCAGTGTTACATCGGTAAACTGTTCTCTGAAAGTATGCATGTTACCGATATTCAGAACCTCAAGGTTTCGTTGTCCCTAGGAACTCCATGAGCTCTTTTGACCGTCGGTTGTATGCGAGCTGCCCACATAACGTGGTATCCAACCACGAGGTCAAGTCCAAAATCCCTACAATATGCCATAAGGTCGCTCAATTCTTTAGACGGAGGAGGTTCCCTTGAACCATAAGGATGGTATGCTGATCCTACGACCAAATTCCTACTATCAGCGCCTTCCTTGTTATATCTAATTCTAACTGCAACTAAGTCTCTGAAGGTAGATTCTTTAAGTTGCCATGAATCAATGTTAGTCATTACGCAAGCTCTGAGCTTTAGTGTCCGGAGTATCACTAAAAAGCGTATAGCCCGGTATATTGAGCCCGTTAACTGAACTGTTTCTCAGCCAGGGTTCCTGGATGAGAACTACGTCATCGCGGCCTCGATAGATCTCCCGTGAAGCCGCTATGCAGTGCTGTAGGTTAATTTGAATGAAATTAAGACTTGCCATAAATGTCGAACGACCTCTCCTGCACCTTCCTGGAAACCGGTATATAAGCCTATTCAGGCGTTCGGCCGTCACCGCGACAATCTTCAATGTCGCAGCCGCTTCCCTGGAGGAGTTATCGGACCTGGTTTAGTAATCCATCCTCGTCCGAGTCGCCAACGCCAACCCCCTCCCCCCCTTAAAATCACTAGGTAAAAACATTGCAGTGGCTCTTCTCTCATGATTAGCTATGTTTTATTCCACCTATTTTGTATAGATAATAATTTTACGTCTTTCCTATTATCAAACTTCTGAATAAAAATATATTTCAAACGTTTTTTTTTTCTACATAGTGTTGTATGTCTTATCCAAAATTTAAAATCACGATGATTTCATAGCCGGCTCCAACAGCTGTACCCACTGACGAGGAGCAGCAGCAACCACCACCTAAAAAGCCTAAAGACACGGATTCGAGGACGCTATCTCCACAAGTACAAGCATTACCTAATGTCCTGACGACGCAGCCTCCTCAGCAACAGGTTAGTAAAAGTAGGGAAATTTGTCTATTAGGTTGTGTACAGATATTGTAGTTAGGTGTAAGTTTCCTCGGAATATTTTCATGTTACTGAAGTAATTACACTCCATGGACTGACAGCTGTCTAGAAATATACTTATTCATAGTGGTTCTTAAGAATGCGCCAAATATACCTAAGTAAAATGTCGTTCGTTAATTATATACAGGGTGTTGAAGTTTAATTTTAAAAATTGTTTTTATGATTGTATTATAATTTTCAACATAGTGTCTATAGTGACTACAATTTTGCTATTGTATTCCATAACCGTTTTGCTAGTAGCGTGTAATTATTTTTATTGGAAATTTTGCTAGTGTGATGCCTTTAGGCAAAAAAGGCACTTTACATTTCTCTACATCTCGACTAAACTTGTCAAATGACTGGCTAAGATACAGTCCATTAATAGCGGAATCTGTTATGGATAAAAGGTGAAAGCTGTTTTTGATGTCGTTAATTATCCATGACAAGTTCATTTCTCGTTTACAAAATATCTCAATTTCAACGAACTGTTGTTGAACCAGCCATTTCACTATGCAATTGAATGTTGAAATGCAAGTATTTCTAAACAGGTTTAACCCAAACAAATATAGAGTGCCTTTTTGTAATTAAGAATGACCATTCTACCATAATTTTTAATAGCAATGGACTGATACTAGCAAAAAAGTTATGGCAGAATATAGCTAGAATATCATTTGTATAGTAACTAGTGCCGTCTACATGTTATGTTTGAAAATAGAATATGTATGATTTCTTTATTGTCAGAAACCTCCGTTTCAAGATTTTCATGTTGATATCACAAAAACAATTTGAGTTGAAATTATTTTGAAAATTCAATTTCAAAATCCTTTTCTCATTAACGAGACATTTTAATAAGGTTGGTAGTATTTCTACTGAAGTTTAATCCCGGATTGGTTTTTAGCGCATTCATTATGGACCACCATGTATTAACATATCATTTTTGCTGTCCCAATTTTACGACTTTCTTATCAAAAAACAAATCTCCAGCCGACACAGCAGCAGCCACCGTCTCAACAATCATTACAGCAACAGACGCAGTCACCTCCAACACCGTCTCAACAGCCACAACACGATGACGAAGGTGTCGATATCGAAGCGCTGTTGCCACCGTCTACGGTTGTCAAGCCAACCGGGCTCACTCCCGAGAAAAAGACTGCTACTAAGGAGGACAAAACGCCCTTACTAGCAGTGGTGCCAAATCCCCAGCAGCCGTCGCCAACACCCACGCCTCCTCCCGCCAAAGAAAACTATTCTGAAGATAAGTCCGATGAATCACCTGTTAAGGTTAGTTACTCTTTTAATAGCATGAGTATAACGCATATGATGGGGAATTTGTACATACTTTAAATTAAGAGATCGAGCGATACGTGATTTTCGACGTTATTGATATATCGGCCATACAGAATCGGGTGTATTTTGGTTCGCGTGAGTACGTGGATAGCAGACAGGTTTATTGACACACAGCACGTATACCGAGTAACAATGAACATTGGAAACACTGTGTATTTTTTTAGCCAATAAAGATTAGTTGACCTTGAATTTCGTTGGAAATCTGTATATTTTCCTCCATAATCGTGCTCCTATGCAAAATTCCCTTTCCAACGATGTCTCACAAGTGACATTTTCATTTTAAAATGATGGCGCTATGCAGGAATTTGTGGCGTGATCAACAAATGTCTATTAAAACAGGCTAAATAAATGACGGCTTGTAATTATGCGTTTTTCATGTTAGTAAACTTATTTGAAAAAAATCAGGAATCCACATATTCTACGTAAATGATGTATAACAAGTGTTTCTTTTTTTGTCAAATGACAGCAGCATAAAAAAATTTGTGAATTAACCTCCATAAGCTATATGTATTACAAAACAAAATTATTTTTTTTTATTATTGGCTGTAAATGAAAACGCATTTCCATTTATGTTCTGAAAGCTACTATCGGTTTACTAAATATATAAAATTACAACTACATATTTCATGGAAGCCACCAATCGCCGCAAGAAAGTAAGGAGGCTATGAAAATTGAGAACGTCTTCGAATAGCATTTATTTTGGAAGAATAGTAGCATGTGGAAAACAAGTGGAAGTGGATTCATAGCGTACCCATTATTGTTTAGTTATTTGACGTTTGGCAATCTGCGTTTCACTTAAATTTATTCCTATTTCATAAAAGGCAAACCTACAGTATTTTTTACTATGAATTTTACAAGAAACGAGCAGGTTGATATGCTATTAATATTCGGTGAATGAAGAAAAAATTCTAGAAATGCTTGTGCGTTGTACATTCAGCGATATCCTCATAGAAGACGTTCTAGTTATTCATACTTTTTCAAGTTAGAAGCAAAGTTTAGAAATGAGGATGTCAGCGGTGAAGAAGAGAACTCTTTCGTAGTAAGTGAAGAAGTGGAGATAAATGTTTCGGCATATGTTCACTTTGACCCAACGCTTGGGGGAGGGAAAGATTTTACTGGGTCAATAGCAAGGAGGGCGTGAAAGACTGGTGCAGGAAATGCCTTGTGTGTGCGGCAAGTAATGGACCGCAAAGGAAACCAAAAGCTTCGATGCGCCAATATAACGTGGGGAGCTCCTTTGAAAGGATTGCTATTGATAAGGCGGGACCCTTTCCAGAAAGTGAAGCAGGGAATAAATACATCATTGTGGTAATGGATTACTTCAGCAAGTGGGTTGAAGGAAGCCTCTACTTTAGCCGATGCTTTAGTAAAGGAATGAATCTGTCGACTTGGTGTACCTTTAGTGCATTCGGACCAAGGGTGCAATTTCGAGTCAAATCTGTTCCAAAGTATCTGTCAAATCCTTGGGATTAAGAAGACCAGGACTACTTCCTTACACCCGCAGTCAGATCGAATGGTGGAGCGCATGAATAGGACCATTAACCGGTATCTGGCTAAGGTAGTTTCTAGCCATCAAAGAGACTGGGATAGTTTTCTTCATCTCTTCTTATTAGCTTACCGATCGTCGATTCATGAGAGCACAGGAGAGACCCCGGCTCGAATAGTTATGGGAAGTGAACTTCGTCTGCCATGTGATCTAAAGTTTGGCTGTCCGCCAGGAACTGATATTGCCCTAGAAGACTACGTAAGTGAGCTGCGTAGAAGAATGGACGCCATCCATAGCCAGCTACCGGATGAAGGAAGCTTATGACGTTAATGCCAAAGACCAGAGGAATGACAACGGTGATACGGTTTGGCCTTACGACACAAAGAGGCGAAAAGGGCTGTCGCCTAAACTTCAATCATCCTGGGACGGGCCATATAAAGTTCTGGAGGCCATCAACTATGTTCTCTACAGGATTCAGAAGGCACCACGCGGTAAAGCTCGAACTGTACATTTCAACCGCCTTGCACCTTATCTTGGAAACAACGAAGATGCGGCGGTGCGGCAAATCCAACCAGAACCGGACATGACATTTTTCTAATTTATGGCTCACCATGCTAATGGCCATAAGAGTCGGTATGGCGTGACATGTGAAGTACAGCATGATGTGTTTACCACTTCACCAGAGCATGACCTGGCACACTGTGTGGCTCAAGACTTGCGAATGTCGAGAGGTACAGCAAAGGTCTTTCTTAGGTTAGTTTGGAAGAGTGCACGAGCTGCGACAATCTAACCCGGAATTCGGAGAAGTACTCCAGATGACTGAAGAGGGGTACCAACCGAAAGATCTTCTATTTGATTACCAAGAAAGCTTCATATCAGAAACCGAATTACGAGGATGTCTGGAACGCTTTGTGTTCTCTTCAAGAAGTGTTGCTTGCCGAGCACCTGAGAAAACTGTCAATACCTAAGCTGACATGTGGACTCGACAACCTGGACTGGAGAATCATCCGAAGCATGCTTGACTTAGTCTTCGGTATACAGCCATTCGATTTCTGGTATGTTGTCACAGTCCTAGACGGCTACCTCCTGGATAGAGTGTGGATTGTTACTTCTTCAAGAACTCCTACTGCAAGAGAGGGCCGTCGTGCCGATATCGACAACCACCGCCAGTAAGATCATTCCAGGACGGAATGACTTTAGGGAGGGCAGTGTGACAAATAGTACTGTTGGCGCCATCTGTTGGGAGAGTCTCCTACTCGCCAGAGCTTCATGGCCGATTTTACGCGAACCACGATCGCACAAGCCGCTTGGCGACGTCTGTGAGGACCGTGGCAGTGGCTCGCCTTCTAGATCGACGCGAAGCAACCTCGACTATTGGCTATGTGACTCCCGATTCTTCTCGTCTCAACGATGCGGACTATATAACTCGGCGGCGGGAGATGGAAGCGGAGTACTGAATACGGTGGAGTAGCAGAGCGGAGTGGAGTATAGTGCAGTCAATTGCGACATAAGAATTAGTCAGACATAAATAGTGGTGTACATAAGTGTTCTATCAAGTTGAATAGATTAAGGCATTTCTTTTTGTGGAATCCAGTGTTTTAGTCCAAAAGAACCCAGAAAAACGCTACATTATAGTCGGCAATTCCATATTCGAAAGTAACTGATGTTTTTCGAATTCCTTGTCTGTCATCGGTCAATGTAGAAATTTTACATTGTACCACAGTCATAGTACTACTCTGTCCATGAGAATATACGTTTCTTAGTTCTTACTAGTTTTAGATCATATAGTTTTTTAAAATATAGGTAAATTAATTTTTGAAATCTGGAAACTGCGTTTTTTCAGCAGACTAGGCAACTGGAACAAGCAACAAATGTAAATCGTGAGTCAGCTAGGCAGATCTTCAAGAAACATGGATTCCGCTCATATCAATGTCAGGTATCTACGCCATCACTTATATGAAAATGATTTTCCAAGAAGATTGGCCAACTGTAACACTGAAAATCCACGTTTGTTAAGGGGTGGGGCCTTTCCAGACCGTTTTGAAGTGAACGTGTGGCTCGGAGTTCTGGGAACCCGTCTAGCTGGTCCTATATTTTTGATTAACCCTTAAACGGGGGACATTATCTTAACTTTTTGCAAAATGAAATAGTAGATTTTCTTGATGGTTTGCCCCTGACTGACAATAGTTCTATTTCATCAAGATAGGGCGCCCGCCTAAAACAGCAGAGAAGTTACAAGATATAGAAGGATAGATCCGGGACTCGTTGGGTAGGAACAAACGGTCCTATTAGGTGGCCCGCACGCTCACCCGACTTAACCATTTTAGACTTTTTCATTTGGGCCCAGTTGAAGGAGAAGGTTTATGTCACGCCTCCTATAAATCTGTTAGATTTAGAACAGCGGTAACGGCACCCATTAACGCCTTATCTGAACATTTTTCTAAACAATGGGCAGGTAGAAACCATAAGAAGGGTCAATAAATGCTACGAAAATAATGGAGGGCGCATTGTAATAGCTAATTCCTTTATAGCGCCGCCATTTTAAAACGAAAATGTCAGTTGTGACGCATCTTTGGAAAGGGAATTTTGCATAGAGTATACGATTATGGAAGAAAATGTATAGGTTTCCATTTGAAGTACGAAAGTCAAGGCCACTTCCGGTTAAACCGTTTTTCCAATTTTCATTGTCACCCGGTAGTTGATAAGGGCATGAACTGTAAAGTGTTATAAAGCACTATGAATGACAATCACATTAATCACTAGGGCTACTTTTATTTTGCTTCTAAAAAAATATAAAATATAGAGAGGTAATATCTGGTGTATAAACAGTGACAGATTGCAGCTTCGGAATGTAAAAATAGATTTGCAAAAGTCTGCATAAACCATACACACGTGCTGCACCGTGCACTTGCGCAAGCCCGGCTTGTTAAAGTGACGGAATGGAAATCCAAACATTTTTACAAGTAAATTTTCCATACAGGTCTTCATAGGTGTATATGCAAGTCAGAACCTTTACTTGATCTGCTTCGGTTGCATGAAGTTGACCAATGTACGAAAGTGAAGAAAACTAGTCTGGGAGTATTCCCACAAAATTATGATCAAAGACTGACGAAATCGATAGTGCAGTTTGGGTCCTAGACAAAAAAACGGCTTCTTTGGAGACTATATATATATCACAGAGACAAGTGTTACAAAATTCAGTAATTAGTAATTTCAAAACCCTCATAAAAGTCACATAATTTGAATATTCCAGGAATCAATAAAACCGTTATTCATAAATAACGATTTTTAAAGGACTTTTTTAGGCTTAATATAGTGTTTCACAGTTTGTCAATAATAATATTAAAAGAAATCTGAAAAACTGATAATTCTTGTTTTTGCAAGTAATGGTTAGTGGAATATAATTTAGACAAAACATATTTTAATATTTCTTATTATTGAAAGCCTCATTAACTTGACCCAGTAATTTTGCATGTTTTGAAATCTTTCTGCAAAAAAGTATGTTGGAAAAATATGAATTAAGTGTTTTTTGAAATGATCGATTAAATTTAAAATGACAATGACACAATAGTGAAGCGTAGGAAGTGAAAGTTGAGCATTCGTACTCAAACAGTTGCTCGGCATACTCCGCACGCTACGAACGTTGTCTACGTGACAACTTACATTTTCTCACTCCATAATTACTCATGACCAGGAATACTGTTTGAGAGTGAATTAAATTTTTCACGCACTGATCGTTGTACAACTGATCGTTGTACAGGTGGGCTAAGTTGATCGGATTTTAAAAAAGGAGAAAAAAAAGTACAAAGAGTAGCAGATAATTTATATTTTAATAAAGTAGACAACACATGGGAATTTTATTTTTTTAAAATAACTTGCTGGTACATCGCTCGTGGGATAGCGGACATCTAGTCTAAAATGTTGTGCTTATTACGAAGCATTGCTATGTAGCGATTGGAATTTACCGTTACAGTCTGGCCTTGCTCGTTTCCGAAGAAATAGGGTCCGATGATTCCTTCAGCTGACATGGCTGCCCAGACTGTAACATAACGCGAATGCAAAGGTCGTTGGTGTTTTAATTTGGAATTTTCTGCCGCCCAATACCAGTAATTTTGCTTGTCGACAAATCCATTCAAATGCAAATGAGCTTCATCAGAAAAGAAGATATTGTTCAAACTTGGAAAGCGTTGTAACATTGTTTCGGCAAACGCACGGCGTAGATAGTAGTCCTGCGGTTTCAGTCCCTGCACTAGTTGAAGTTTATGTGGGTGCAATTTAAGATCTTTTACCAAAATGCGCCTTTTAGATGTTCCTGATATGGCGAGCTCAGCTGATCTCTTTCGGGATGATAACTGTGAAACTTCAATTACTGTTTCCTCTGTTCGTATTGACCTTGGATGCCCCACCAGTGTCGAACCGGTGGACTCAAAACTTTCCGACCCACGACCTGATCACTATGACATTGATTTAGATCACGTAAACCAAACTCAGAGCGAAACAGACGCTTCACAATAGTGCACGAATCTCCTTTTCTGTAATAAGCCTTAACACAGAACACGCTGCTCATCGGTGAAACGCTCTATGGCGACTAAATTTCCGAGCACCAAGCTACTTATCCCCACTATCCGTGTCCCGCTCCCGCGTGCCTGTCACACGAGCAATGCGGTATTGAAATTCGTACGTCTTTTTGGTCCACCCTGTATTACGCTTCTTTGAAAGTTCTGCAGTGCAATTTTATGACAGACTGGAGTCATTTGTTGACTTCACTCCATCTAAAGATCGCTTTTGTAGATGAAATCCCCATTAGTTCGATTTTCACACTTTACTACCTTTTACACAAGTACAGCATTATATTTGTACGATTAAACCTTTGTCGGTACGTCGGTACCTAGGTCCGTTTTCGTGCAAATACTGATTTCATTTGGTTTGTGATGGGACAGTACTATTACACAATTTATATCAAATTATGAAGAATGTATGTATCAAGAAAAGGCACTGCGCGGAATGGTTTTGAAGTTTGCTACTCGCTTTCATTGATTTATTGGTTGGTACTGCATTATTGGTCGAATGTTCTTTATAGCCAAAACAGAGCCATTTATGAGAGCAAGGACAGAAGACCTGTGGTGCTAAATTGTCAGAAAATATTTAGAATTTGCTATACTTACAATGAGCTGAATGCAGCAACACGATTTTATTATTATTGCATACTTATTCCCTATATTCATTTTTCCAAATATGTTGCACACTATTAGAAAATATTTAACTCATTTTAGCCATCGCATTTGCTGAAATATGATTATCCGATCTAATAACTAATGAAGCTTCTGAGAATATTCACTATGGGATCCACTAGTAAAAGTGAAAGAATCATTGGCATTTTGGATATCGTTTATGATTATTCTTATCGATACACTCACATATTTTCCAACTTCCAAGGTACACATTAGATGGAAGACATTATTGGTAGACTGCAAATGAATGATAAGTAATCCCCACCATGAAGAAATGAAAGTCTAAACAAAAGTAAATTTGATTAAAAAAATGTTTAATGATTCGTTGCAAGTATTTGAACAATAAATTCAACTAAAAATAATTATCGGTTTGGCAACACCAAAAGCAAAAAACAACCGCAAGTTAATTACTTGCTGTTATTTTTGTTGTTCCTCTAAATTAGTTTTGCAGGTCCATCTCTCCCAAATTGTATCCGCATTGTCTATCTTCTCTCGGTCTGCTTTCTGTTTGGTGAAACGCCTTAGGTGATTTGCATCATTTGAATTTGAAATGACAACTTCCATGTAATTTCCAGGCAACCGTCGAGGAACAACCCACCGAGGCACCGTCACCGCTTAAAGAGGAGCCTAGCAAACAATCCCAGGAAGCCGTTGCGGCTACTACGGTAACGGCGTCCGCCGGAGAGGGCAGCGATACCAGCCCGCCAGCGGCGAAAAAGGGCGCCAAACGTACCAGGGGAAAACGGAAATCGGGCGAGACCATCATCGACCCCGAATCGATTGTCGCGAAGAAAAATCTGCGATCGAGCGCCAGCAGATCGGCAGCCGCTGCCGCCGCGCGGCAAAAGCTCGAAGCTGAAAACGCGCAGAGAGAGAGGAATGAGGAGAACGTCAATGCGAACTCTTAGAAGCGGTCCACCCGCGGCAAACGATCAGATGACACTAGGTGAAGCATCCTATCATCTCATTAATGCTACATAATTTTTTTGCGACAATGCTAGAAATCTAATTTTTTGTCATTATACGTGTACGAGCCACACAAAAATGTTCGGACATTATCTAACTTTAACTAAAAGTTTCTTTATTTTTGTAAGGTTAAAAATTAATTCTTTTTCTCTTATAAGACAATGAAATATATTGTTTGCACATCATATTAAGAATACTGTTACCATGGAAACTAGAGAGAGATAATCGAATCTGTGAATCAACAACAAAGAATGAGAAAACGTGTTTTTGGGATTCAATTGAAAGTGTTAGTAGGAATGAAAAAACTCTTCAAATAAAATTTTTAGATGTTTATGAGACCTTCAAAATGAGGCCACACGTAAAAAGATTCGACTATAATAGTATGCAGTCATCAATAATGCAGCCCACATACTAACTAGGCTACGACAGTTTGAAACATAATTGTGTCTTCATTTTGCGTGCTAACTTTATAAACAGTTCAGCGCATTTATGTATCAAATTTTTAGTAAATTCTCAAAAACTACTTGACCAATCGACTTCACTTTTGTTGTGGTTATGAAGAACGAAAGTACGAATCCTACGAATTTGAAGAATTTCAAGTAGCTTCGTGAAATTTACCTTAAACAACTTGCATCAATAAAACCACACTTTACAATTATTTCGAAAACCAGGGGTATTGTCGTCTAATATGATTAGACTAAAAGCAACATACGGTGCAATCAGAGTTTTCATCCTAAAATTGTTTCATCAAGAAAAGAGTTTTCGGGATATTGCTGAACAAATAAATGTCGCAAAGTCTCAAGTGGCAGATATTGTAAAAAAGTATGGCGGCACAGGTTCAACTCAAGTTTCAAAACATGGTGTTGCAAAGATCTCTTGTTCGTATTTGAAAAGCTGGTCGTCTAGGTACTGTAAGGGACATAACGGCAAAATGGAATGAATAAACAGCAGGAAATGTTTCACGAGAAACGTGCGGTCTGTGGACTAAGTCTGGTTTACATTGATTAGCATTAATCGAAATTCGATGTTTGTGTGGATGACCACCGATCCCGAGTTATAAAAGACAAAAATAAAGCGTTTTATAAAGACTGCCTAAAAATGAAAGTTTCCATCAGGTTTAATGGTATTGGGAAGCATATCTGCTTTTGGCGTTGGAAAACTTCACTTTATAGACGGAAATGTAAACCCAGCTAAATATCAAAATATCATTGAAACCAATTTGCTAGTGTCAGTTCAAATTTTATCACCTGATAGAAACTTTATTTTTCAACAAGATGGTGCGTCATGTTATACTGCCAAAACCACAAAAAAATGGTTGCAGGATAATAATATTCCCGTCCTTGACTGGCCTTTCAGTAGTTCTGATTTAAATATCGAAACTGTATTACACAAAATGAAGCAATAGTTAAGAAATGATCCACAACGAAACATTTTTGATTTACGAGTAAAATTACAAAACTTTTAAGGCGGAAGGCTGCGAAATCTTGCTAACAATATTGTTGTTATCAAAACTACTTTAGTTTTTTAGTTTAATATTATATTACTTGATACTAATGTTGTTAATATGATGTCCAAACAATATATTTCAATGTATTATAAAAGAAACAAATTATTTTGTAACCTTAAAAATGAACCAAGATAAAATTAGATAGTCTCCGAACTATTTTGTGTTAGGGCTCGAATAAAATTTTGCCGCATAGTTAACAGTTTACGAGAAATCCAAACATACATTGGTCGGCTTCATTGGCCTTGGGTAATGACCTGCATTACTGGTATATAATAACCGCCCTTGATGTGTGATGCTCGCTCGTAGTCTATATAGGAAGTGACCATGCAGTGTTGACAAACTGCTAGAATATGTTTAGAAACTGCTACATTTATACTGAGAATAGCCGATTTCATATACAGGGTGTTTTCAAAGTGAGTCATTTATTTTAACTGCTTGAAGGACTCATCAAAAGCAGTTGATATACCAAAAATGTTGCATAATAAAAGAAATAGTAAAAGAGTAATTATTTGAAAAATAAGAATGTTATTACACAGATTTTTTGATATTCTCGACCACTGCTGTATAAAATCTTGACGATTTTTGTTTACTACTCGTATGGTTTATCCAAATTTGGCAAACTTTTTGTGTTATTGTATGGTTTTCAGTACGAGTCTTTGGTTCGATCAGTTGTATCACTCTTTTAATGGTGCGTATACTTCCATTTGTCTGATTATTTTGTGCGAAAAAATCGCAAAAACCATGAACTGGTGGACGTAATGAGAGTATCAATAAAATGCAGCCGCAGCATGCAGATTGTATGCGGAAAGGTTTCCTTTAAGAAATCATTCAGCCCCACGGATGTTTGCAAATTTAGTTATTATACTTCGTTAGACAGGATAGTTAAAAGAACAACGAGGAGGTCACGCTGGAAGATCTACTCAATCTGAAATGTTACAAATTGAGAAAGACATTTTAGAAACACTGAGTACTAGAGCCATAGCAACCCAAGTTGAAGTTTCTCATAGTAAAGTGTAGAAGACAATACGACAAGAACAGTATTATCCTTATCATTATCAATGGGCACAAGCGTTACAACCTGAAGATCGTCCTAGAAGAGTTGCATTTTGCCAAAGGCGTTTAGTTAGTTAGGCTGTAGTTCGGCAGGTAAATGAAGATTTTACGAAATTAATTTTCTGTAGAGACGATGCCACATTTACACGAAAAAGAACACATTAAGTGGCATGCTTATCGGACCCAACTTTTTCAACCTTGACTGTCTGGTGAAATTTATTTAGATTTTCTTCGACACAATCTGCCACAATTATTAGATGTTCCTCTAAATGTGAGACAAAAGTTGAGGTTCCGACATGATGGGTCTCCAACACATTTTAGGCGAAAAATTTATGAACATCTAAATGATGCGTTTCCGAATAGATGGATAGGGCGCAATGGACCCATTTCATGGCCTGCTCGCCGGATTTAACGCTTTGCGATTTTTTGTTGTCGTAGGTGCTTGAGACAGAAACAGTTATTACTAAAACGGCTAAGAAAACAACCTGGAAAATATTTTCAAATCTCTGAAATGGTCGCTAGGGGGTGTAACTGCAATCTTGAATCTAAAAATGTGATGTTTCGGTGAATTCCGCTATATTAACCTAACAAAAAAATCCTGATCTTTAAAGTCGATGATAATGTGAACTTTTTTGTTTGACCATTTTCGCGGTATCTCTAAAAATAAAGTGATTGGGGGGTATTCAAAGGTTGGGCTAATTGAAAATAGCATTCTTGGGCTACAAATCTTATAATATTCGAAGTTTTGTTAGTTTCTCATGTGGCCACTAGACGGATTTTTTCGGCATTCCGGCGGAAATGGTTGATTTTCTCAAAAAAATTTGATGCATTGGTATGATTTTTTGTTGTTGTTGAAAACGTAGCTATATAGTGTTTAAACAAGCTCGTGAAAACCGTATCTCGGTCTCTTGCTCCTAACCTAAAATTTATGCTAAAGAAAATTTTATACGGAAAAAATCCCTGAAATTCTTATTTGTTCAAACTAATTTTTCTGGAATTTCTTATGAAATACTGCTAAAAATACGATCTTTGAATAAATGAAAGTTCTTAATTAAAAGACTAAAAGAGTGTATTTATCTAATCAATTAGCACCATTCATGGGCTTTTTTGTATGTGGTCAAACATTTCAAAATTCAGTTTAAAACGTGTCGATTTTGATATAAAACGAAGTGAAAAAAATCGAGTTCAGCACTTGATTTTTTAACTGTCCTCCTATAGTACTTGAAATATATACGTATAATATTAAAGGTTGCAGGATTTAGATGAGTGTAGCCGTAGAAACTGAATTTAGAACTTTTGTATTTTCGGATATGAAACGGTCTCGGTCCATACTACCTACTACTATGTAAATTTAAGTACGGAACACCCCGTATGGATGTTTTATCAATATTCCTATCTGAATGTGCAATAAAATTTGGGACATGCCGTTTAAATGAGTTGACATATAATGAGGCATCACATAACTCCCCAGTCCATTTAAAAGCGCTATAGATTGTATGTATTTTTTGCGTATCAAGATAAATGAACATTCAATAATGCAAATGTTTTTTCACAGGAAAACAATCTGGGACACAGAGAGAACTTCACAATGTGAAACGACCTCGAGTGTGACTGGGCCTTTAGACACATCCTCATGGGTTTTTGGTGAACTGTGATATAAACAAAAAGACTCGACATAATGATACAGCGCGGTGTACTCTGTGTTTTTTTTTTTGAATGGATTATTACGCTTGTCTTATATGTACTCTCCAAGTTTACAAACTAAGATAGATAAATATTCGGTAGGTTTAAATAATGTTATAACCAAGTGAATGGCTCTGTTTAGGAAAACCACTAAGGTGTGGTTAAGTTTTTTATTGTGAGTGTACATCTTTTATCAGTAGGAATATTTCTCCGTTTATTATACGATATTCTTCATTTTTACTTTATATAGTTTGTATATATTATTCTTTTAGTGATTATTACAACTTCGTTTTTTGACATATGTGAAACGTGTGTAAATAAAATTTAGCCCTTATTTTTCCTTTTTTATTTAACTTGGCACAAGTCTGAAAAGTATTTATTTTCTTTTTTCATTTACATTTGTCGGTCTTTTGTTGATATCTATTAAGATCTGTCTTATATATATACAATTCTCGTATAAACATAGTAATGGTAGCTCTCTCCTTGTTACAATGTTCATATAGATAATTAAATGATATGAATGAGTAACAATCTTTTATTGCATCATGTGCAAGGCCTTTGCCCGTATACCGCCGTATCATATACCTAGTGACCGTGTCCAGCAAAAATATTGTCTTCTACACGTAGATGATGACATTCACATGGCCCATAATCTGACAGGCAGGTATATATACCAGTAGATTACACAAAGTAAACATCAAGCTGTCCGCAGGCGGAAGCCTCGGAAAAGGTTTTGGAAGGAAAAAAGCAAGTATAGCGTAGTTTGGAAGAAAAATATAGTACAGGGTGCGGCAGAGAGGACGGACGGTTTTGGGATGGGTAGTACTCTCCGCCTCCGTCTACGAGAGAGGTGGGGAGGGTGCCGTTTGACTCGTGAGATCCTAGCATTATTTTACCAGTTGTCGTTATGGAGCCTTGGACGGTGGAGCACCGCGTTTTCGCCTATGATTGTTTCGTCCGAAATAATGAGTCAGTCATCGTCGTACAGCGTGAGTTTCGTCGGCACTTCAACATTCATCGGAGTAGAGCTGTTCACTCTCGAAACACTATCCTTCGTTGGGTTAAATCACTTCGCAGGCGTGGTTAACTGATCAACAGAAGACCAAGAGGAGCGCCGCGAACATTTCCAACTCCTGAAAATGTTGAACACGTTCGACAGGTATTTCTTCGCAATCCGACTCGATCTGCCCGGAAACATGCTGCTGCACTTCGCCTTAGTGATCGTTCGGTAAGGCGAATTTTACATATGGATCTCCGCTTTCACCCCTACAAATTGGCCATTGTGCAACAGTGACAGCCCGGAGATTATGCACAACGAATGAACTTCGCACGTGTGATGGAAGCACTGATCGATCAAAATGAGAACCCCAGATTTATCCATATGCGATTTTTTCTTATGGGGACACCTCAAGGCTAGAGTATACGCGAACAAGCCCCGAACTCTGGACGAATTGAAGGGCGAAATTCCGTGGAAATCGCCCAAGTTGAGAGAGCGATGTTGGAGAGAGTCTATGCGAACTTGCAAGAACGCCTCCAGCACTGCATCAACGATTTCGGCCATCACATGCTTGATGTCATTTTCCACACTTGACTGTCTCAAATGCTATTTTCTTGTGAACCTGATTCCATTAATAAATTTGTTTTCGAGTAAAAATTAACTATTCTATGATTTTTTTAAAACCGTCCATCCTCTCTGCCGCACCCTATATATATATATATATATATATATATATTTGTTATTTGCTTTGATCATCGATAAGGATTGAATACTTTGAGTATTCTTAGCCAAGGCCTTCGACACTGGGTATCACATGAAATAATTACAGGTCTTAGAAGGACATGGCTTTCGAGGAATTCCATTAGACCTACCGAGATCTTACTTGCAAGACCGAAAACATGTAATTGACAAGATACCTCAACTTATGGAATTTGGCATTGCTTGGGTCCACCACTTTTCACAATTTATATGAACGGTATATTGGAACATGATTTTACTGGCAGTATAGCGTCCTTTGTAGACGACACTGTAATACTTTTTGATGACACTTCATGGCAAGAAGTTAAACAGGAAATGGAAATTGGATTTTGAAAAACACTTTTACGTGCACCACAGTAACCATTCCGGAGTTCAACACATTGAAAATTTAGTCAAAAGTATCAACAATAGTAATTAAAGAGGCAGACCATGTCTTTTTTTGAGGACTGATATCGACAGACTCATCAGATGGGATATTCGTGCCGGAAATTTAGTAAAAAAAATTGAGAACGGTTTTACACAAATCTTCAAAATTAACATTTCGCTGGCTTAGAGTTATAAGGTTCTATGTGACAATTTGGTACTTTGTAAATAAAGGCTCTCAAAGTTCTATGACAACTATGCTACGTATTGTTCCGGGTGCCAGAATTCTATTATTTTCTTCTACGAAAATATAGGACATTATTTCATAAAACTATGCAGCAATATTATATCTTCCAAGTTACAAAGTCCCATGTTCTCCATATTGATGTGGCGGGACTCTTTCCAGAAAGTGAAGCAGGGAATAAATACATCATTGTGGTAATGGATTACTTCAGCAAGTGGGTTGAGGAATACGCTATGCCAAATCAGGAAGCCTCTACGGTAGCCGATGCTTTAGTAAAGGAATGAATCTGTCGACTTGCTGTACCTTTACAGTTGCATTCGGACCAAGGGTGCAATTTCGAGTCAAATCTGTTCCAAAGTGTCTGTCAAATCCTTGGGATTAAGAAGACCAGGACTACTGCCTTAAACCCGCAGTCAGATGGAATGGTGGAGCGCATGAATAGGACCATTAACCGGTATCTGGCTAAGGTAGTTTCTAGCCATCAAAGAGACTGGGATAGTTTTCTTCATCTCGTCTTATTGGCTTACCGATCGTCGATTCATGAGAGCACAGGAGAGACCCCGGCTCGAATAGTTATGGGAAGAGAACTTCGTCTCCCGTGCGATCTAAAGTTTGGCTGTCCACCAGGAACTGATATTGCCGGAGAAGACTACGTAAGTGAGCTGCGTAGAAGAATGGACGTCACCCATAGCCAGGTTCGTGTTTCAATTCAAGGTGCCAGCAACCGGTTGAAGGAAACTTATGACGTTAATGCCAAAGATCAGGTATGACAACGGTGATACGGTTTGGCGTTACGACTCAAAGAGGCGAAAAGGGCTGTCCCCTAAACTTCAATCATCCTGGGACGGACCATATAAAGTTCTGGAGGCCATCAACGATGTTCTCTACAGGATTCGGAAGGCGCCACGTGGTAAAGCCCAAAATGTACATTTCAACCGACTTACCCCTTGTCATGGAAACAACGAAGATGCGGCGGGGCGGCAAATCCAACCAGAACCGGACATGACATTTGACCAATTTATGGCCCACCATGCTAATGGCCATAAGAGTCGGCATGGCGTGACATGTGAAGTACAGCAAGATTTGTTTACCACTTCGCAAGAGTATGCCACGCCACACTGTGTGGCTCAAGACTTGCAAATGTCGATAGGTATAGCAAAGGTCTTTCTCAGGAAGTTTGGAAGAATGCCCGAGCTGCGTCAATCTAACCCGGAAGTCGGAGAAGTACTCCAGATAACTGAGGAGGGCACCAACCGAAAGATCTTCTATCTGGTTATAGTATCAGAAACCGAATTACGAGGACGTCTGGAGTGCTTTGTGTTCTCTTAGAGAAGTGTTGCTTGCCGAGGACCTGAGAAGACTGGCAATACCTAAGCCGGCATGTGGACCGGACAACTTGAACTAGAGAATCATCCGAAGCATGCTTGAGGGAGTCTACAGGCATTCGATTTCTGGTATGTTGCCACAGTCCTAGATGGCTACCTCCTGGAAAGAGTGTGGATTGTTATTTCTTCAAGAACTCCTACTGCAAGGAATTAACGAGTACCTGCGGAATATATAAGCCGACGGCCGGGAGAGGGAAGCAGAGTTGAGTGAATGGCGCGACATAATTCGTAAATAAGTAGTCAGACATAAATGTGGTGTACATAAATGTTCTATCTAGTTAAGTTAAAGTTAGTTGTGTTTTAAATAAATTAGTGCATTTCTTTTTGTGGAATCGAGTGTTTTGATTCACACCCGAAAGAACCCAGAAAAACGCTGCAATATGTTTCTGAAATACCATTATGATTTGTGGCGTGATATTCTAAAATTGCGTTGGAAAAGTCATCTTTTGTTGTATACCTGGGTTTAAAGGAGGCTTTCTCTAGATGTACTTGTTTGGGAGAAAAGTGAGTAGAAACAGTTCTGCTTAATAAAGGAAGTAGTCTGGGGTCGTGGAACCAGATTCCGTATTTCTTACTGGGTATGACGTATTGTTTAAGAAATTGTAAACGTTCATCGATACCGTCGGGACTAGATAATTGGCATTCGATAGTTTTGGAAGCAAGAGTTCTGACTCCATATGAATTTCCTATGGTGAATTCAACTCTGTTAGGATATGAATAGAAATTTCGTTCTTCAGCAATTTTATTTTCAGATCTATTGTCTGTGTCGTGAATAGTTTCGTCGTCGTTAATTTGGGGGGACATTGAGTCATCGTCAGTGTCAGAAGGTGCGTTAATTTCGATTCGGCTTAGAGCGTCGCAACATAGTTTTCCTTGCATTTGTTTTGTATCGTATTTCATAGACGAATTCTTGAAGTTTTATTTTCCAGCGTATGAGTCTTTATGACCAAACAGGTAAGGTCGAAAATGCTTGCAAGAGTCTATTATGGCTAAAAGTTATTTTTCTATGGTGCTGTAGTTTCGTTCGACAAAATTGAGAGTACGAGAATGAAAGCTGATGGGTTTTGCGATAGGAGATTTCCAAAAGTTGGATGAGTCTGTATTTAAGTTTTGTTGGGGTATGGGTAAGGGAGTATTGGAGCGTTAGTGATCGTTTTTTTTTAATATATGAAAAGCTTCTAGATATTCAGAGTTTGTTTCATCATTTTGGTTCCTCTTTTAAGGCATCGTGTAAAAAGTTTGGTAATCTTTGCGAAATCTTTAATGAATTTTCTATAATAGTAAGTCCTAAAAATGATTGTATTTGCTTAATAGTTTTGGGTAATGGGTAACATTGAATGGCTTTAATTTTATCGGGATTAGGTTTAATACCGTCAGGAGTTATAATATCTCCAAAAACGGGGACATCGGATCTGAGAAATTCAGTTTTGTCTAATTGTATTTTGAGGTGATATTTGGCTAGAGTTTCAAAAATTTGTTTCAAGTGTTTCAGGTGATCTTGAAGGGACTTGGAGAAAATTATATCGTCTAGATATACGAAGCAAATTTTTCCAATGAAAGGTAATAGGACAGAATTCATCATTCTTTGGAAAGTGGCTGCGGCATTTTTCAATCCAAATGGCATTGGAACATATTCGTAATGTCCATTATCGACCGTGAAGGCGGTTTTTTCTTCAGAACTTTTTGCATTGGG